GATTCTGGCACTAACCCTCCGGCTCAGTCTAGCCAATATATAATGTCTCATGACTAATTCTGGGCATCAGCCCTCAGGCTCAGTCTGACCCACACACGTCACAACACACTACTTTCATTTTCTCTCTCTCTTTATATATATCTTTCTAAAATCATTTTCGAAATCATTTCCGAAATCATTTCCGAAATTATTAAATTACTATTTTGCCCTTAATCTTTTCTTAAAATTTCATTTATGTCCCTAAATGACTATTTTACCCTTGGACATTTTTGAAAATTCCTTCCATATCCCGAAAATGATTATTTTACCCTTAAACAATTTCAAAAATTCCATTTATGTCCCTAGGATGTAAAATGACTATTTTGCCCTTGAACATTTTTGAAAATTACATTTATGTCCCTATGATGAAAAATGACTATTTTACCCTTGATCTTTTTAAAAAATCCTCACCATATCCCTTTCTTCTTCCTTCGCCCATTAACAGTATCGAAATTTGCAGATTTTGGCAGATTTCAAATTACTCAGTTTTAGAGAACCAAACTAGTCTCAAATCGAAATTAAACATGAAGTATATCTAATTTAAGTTGAAAACAACAATTTTACCATATAGTTCATCCTTAATTTTAAGAATTTCAAAAACTTTCAAACCATGAACAATGCATCCCAAATAAAAAATTCTTCAAAATCAGACATTCAAATAATTCATATCTCTACTCCTATTCCTTATTCACAAGGTATTCACAGAGTACCCAACAATTCAATTTCATATATTGAATGAATTAAACTTCCCCTTACCTGGTATGGTATTTCTACCGAAGCTATTCCACTTAATTCAAGCTCTCTTCCGTTTCACCAGATCCTGCACGATTAGAGTTTCATTGCTTAAAATTTAGACAATAGAAGAAGAAGAATGAGGAACATATGATATGGGATGAAGAATTTCCCGCAGAAACCATTCCTCCCCCCTTGAACATATAAAAGAAAAAAATTTTACTGTGCATGAGGAAAACTTCGTTACGAAGTTTTCTTGCATAGTAAAAAGCAACGTCTTTTCTGTTACTCAAATAGAGAATATTGTAAAATCTATCTATTATTAACGTGTCCACGTTTTTTCCTGGGATTTTAAGTAATACTCACCTATGAAAAATGTGGTTTGTAAACGTTGTTGAGTTTTAAGTGAGTGTTGTTGTGCGGAGATATGTTTGTTACTCGTATCACATTTATAAATAAATTACTTTATATTCTTCTAAAACACACAATTACTCATATTCTCTTTACTCTTTTTCATTTTTTTTCTTACCTGAATTTATATACTCTTTTGAGAATTCTTTATTAGATTTTGACTTTCTTGAAAAATTTGGAAAATTCATTTTGTATCTAAGGAACTTACATGTAATATATTGGAGATAAATTCTTAAAGGTAGTTATTATACAGGTATAAAAAACCAAGTTTTGTTTATATTTTCATCAGCTTTTGTAACACTTTTATCCCAAGAAATATATATTTTAGTTATAATATTTATTTTTAAGATTAATTAAGCTTTTAGCTATTTTTTAATCAGATCTTTATAATTTTTCAATCAAATGAATTTTTTTAAGTTTTCATTTTATTATTCCATGATTATACGCACAACATAATCAATAATATGCAAGAACAAGAACCAATTTAATATGTTTTTATGTACATGAATTTGACAACATAAATAGGACTAAATTATGGCATTTAACTTTATTCCAAAAATGACACGAATTTCCTTTTAATGGCTTTAAATTACACCCATTTTTTCTTTCTTGTTCAAAATGTAATCATATATAGAAGAATTATTCAGAAAAAATAAAATAAAAAATGAAAGTAGAAAGATCATTTATTTCATAACCAACATTATGTTGGTTTAAAAGAATTGGACATAGAGTTTTTAAGTAACATTTTATACACAAGAAAATGAAGTCAAAGGTGGTTATTAGGTTTCATTGTCGGAGACTAATCATCCCGAAATTAATTCATACTTCAACGTAATAATTTGATAATCTAAGAAACTATTCAATGGTAAAATAAATTCAATTAGATAGAAAATAACGATTAAATAGAAAAATATATGATTCAATCGGAAAATTTTCCATTTGGATAAAAAAACCAAATGTGAACATTCAATATTTGCGATGAAAGTTTATTTATCGATGTAAATATTAGAATTATCGATGGATAAATTCGTCACTAAATATTTTACTGAAATTACCGACGAATAGGAATTAGTCGGTAATAATTTTATTATTTATTAAATATTTTACTTATTTATTGCATATTTTTTTATAGAATTCCTCCCCTTTATATTTTTATTATTTATTATTAATTATTTCTTCATACTATATTTTTACCTTAGAGTTTGAGGCTGATACTCCAATCACTAAGCTACTAGAAATTTGTTATAATAATTTACAAATAAATTATATTTATATACAAATATACAAATATATTTATATATTTTATATATTTATATACTTTTATATATTTATATATTTTTATAAATTTATATATTTATATATATTTATATTTTTTTATATATTTATACATTTTTATATATTTTTATATATTTATATATTTATATATTTTTATATTTATATATTTATATATTTTTATATATTTATATATTTATATATTTTTATATATTTATATATTTTTATATATTTATATATTTTTATATATTTATATATTCATATATTTATATATTTTTATATATTTATATATTCATATATTTATATATTTATATATTTATATATAATTAATTTTTTTTAATTTATTTAATTTAATAAATTATTATAAATTAATCTAATTATGATTAAATTAAATTATTAAATAAAAATATTTTATTTTTTAATTAGGTGACTAATTAATAAATTTTATTTTATTAAATAAAAAATTATTATATAATTTTACCGACGAATATATCCGTCGGTAACTAATTGTTAATTAATAATTGTTAATTTATAGATAAATTTACCGACGGATATATCCGTCGGTAATTAATTATTAATTTATTGACGGATTTATCCGTCGGTAAATTCATCTATAAATTACTAATTATTATTTTACCGACGGATATATTCAGTCGATAATATCAAATTCCACAAATATTTTATATCCGTCTGTAATTTCAGTCGATAATGATTATTTTTCGACAGACTATAAATCCGTCGGTAAAAATCCATCGATAATACACGATTTTCTTGTAGTAGTACAAAGTTAACCGTTCCAACAAATTTGTTATATAAAATAATTATAATAATAATTTAAATAAAATAATTTAAATAATTATAATATTTTAAATAATAATAATAAATAATAATAATTTGTATTCAAAGGATAATTTGATCATTTTATAAATTTTTTTATTATCTATATCAATCAAATTATTCACAAACTTTCAATTTTTCTCTTATTTATCTACTCTTCTTATCATCTTTTTCTTAATTCAAATAATATCACTTTCACGTCTTTTTCTTTTCAAATTTATTTTTTCCCACCCCTCAAATTCATATTTTTATCCAAATACATTAACAGTTTTAAAAAAGAAAACTATACACGTACACATAAATATTAGATACGAGACGGGCTAAAATGAGGAAACTAACCCATTGTGCTATGGTTAACAAATAAATATTAATATATAAATTAAATTGAAATCTGAGAGAGCCTCTACTTCCCTTGATTTTTCTGAGATCCGTCCAAGCATACACTTACACATATACATAAAGATATTTGAAAAAAAAATTATTTTTTATAATATATAATTTTATCATATTCAAATAAAAAAAATCGTAAAAAACATGTTTTTGAAGCAAAGTATTTTCTAACACGTTGTAACAACCTTCCAACTTCTTAAAAATTCACAAAATTCTTTAAATCACATCTTTAATGAGTTTTAACTATTAATAAAATGTGTTTACAAAATTATAAAACATATAACGCATGGTTATTTAAATGAATTATTCATTTTAATTTTATAGCTAGAGTTTATAATATAACATATATTTAAGAATCTTTTAAAAATTGATTTCAATAATAAAGTTATTAAGGCCAATACTTAACTTTATATAAACCTATGAGTAATCCAAATCCAAAAATTTCACATAATCTTAAAAGTGAATGAATTATAATAACTTTTCTTCTTTAATTCTAATAAAGATCTTATTAATTATTTTATAAGCATAGATTATTGTGGTAGGGTTAGAGTATTGTATTAATTAGATTAATATCAAAAAGATAATTTATATATATACATTTTTTTTACTTACCTAATCGTAATGGATTAAAACTTCTAGAAAAAAAATATTATAACATACATGAGATTGAATAGTTTATATATATATATATATATATATATATATATATATATATATATATATATATATATATATATATATATATATATATATATCACTTATTTTCCCCGGTATATGTATCGTTGTCAAAGGATATTTTCTTCCCAAAGCGTTGTCAATATAATCATCCCATGGTTCACCTTTGAATTTGAATATCTTTGTTCGAGCTCAGCCAGGTCAGGGACAAGACAACCATCATCACTTTTCCTCCACAACGTTGGGTTAGACAACCTCAAAATTTTTCCCTTGTCCCACGTGGTTTCTGAAACCCAACCAAAGCAGTTTTGTAATCAAGCCACATGATTGAAATTCATCGGGTCAAAATGTGTGGAACGTGTACCTGCGTCCGTTCCTTGTCCGTGTTCATTTTCTGTCCAACTCGCGTTTATGATTCATATATATATATAAACAAACACCACCTCCCAAACACTTAACCATCGTCTCCTTTTACCACACACCAACCTCACTCTTCATTCCTCACACTTCCACACACACACACAACACAGCCTTTTCCCCTCTCACTTCTTAGCCAACAGAAACCCCCATTGACCCTTATCCCACTCTTATGCTTCATCTCTCTCAAAACTCAAAACGACAATCCATAGATATAAATAATTAACATGGCCCTTGAGAATAACGAATCTCCTCATTCCACTTCACTATCTCCACCAAACCCTAATCCGCAACCCACGAATGCGAATCCGTCTCACAAGAGGAAAGCAGGTAGAAAGAAATTTAGGGAGACACGGCACCCAGTGTATAGGGGTGTACGCCAGAGAAACGGAAACAAATGGGTGTGTGAAATTAGGGAACCAATAAAGAAATCAAGGATTTGGGTAGGCACATACTCTACACCTGAAATGGCTGCTAGGGCACATGACGTGGCTGTCTTAGCCCTTAATGGCATTTCTGCAAAGTTCAATTTCCCGGATTCAGTTTCCCTTCTCCCCCTTGCCAAGTCTTGTTCTGCTGTAGATATAAGGCAAGCAGCAAAAGCTGCTACTATTGATGGTGCTTTCACACCAAACACTGTTTTTTCTTCTTCTTCTGATGGTAATGGGAATGCTGAAGACACTTGTTTGAACATCAGTAAGCTGCACTATAATGAATCTGAAACAGTGTTCTTTGATGAGGAGGCACTGTATAACATGCCAGGTCTGTTGGATAGCATGGCAGAGGGATTGCTTATTACCCCGCCCTCTACCAACATAGCACTGGATTGGGACAATATTGGTTCTGAAATAGACCTTTCTCTGTGGACTAACTAATTCCATGTATCGTTACTGCATGCGCCTTTACTTCTGATATCTCCTAAGTATTTTAGACAAAGTGAGTCTAAATATAGATACATGTCTCAGATCATTGAATAGTTAGTTAATGCATGTGCATGTACTCGTGTACAATTTTACCCATTTATCAAAAGAACTTTCCCACGTCCACTGTGGTTATGTCCATGCACCTTCGGAGGAATACGGACAAATAAAAGTTTCTGTATAGCAATGTCATAAAAGGAGAAGGAAAAAAAAAAAAGTGAAACTAGTCTATAAAAAAATTAACCACGATTTTATTGAGAGATGATTGTGTGATAATTTAAACCTAGAAAACCTAAAATAATACTAAATAATGTTATATATATGTTATTTTGAATGCTCCAATGATTACTTGAATTATTAAACCATTATTTTTGTTATTTTATGTGCTTGATTCTTCCACGCTTCGTACCAATTTATTTTATTTATTATGTTTGTTTTGAGATATATTATTAAATCTCTCAAATAATTTAGAACTCGAAATTAATAATTATTTATCATAAAATAATGATAGAGACCAATTTAAACCTAGTATATTTTGATTAATTAAATAAATATATTTTTCAAATTTATAAGATGACTAGGTTGACTAATTGGGAATTTCTTGAAAATTGGGTGGGTTATGATTGTATAAATTTTGTAACTCTTATATAATTTATAATTTTAATCTCATCATTTAATATATTTATTTGTATATTTATAATTTTATCTTCTCAGTCTTCCTTATTCTATCTTGGTCCCCAAGCTTAAATCATCATTTAATATATTTATTTATATTTTTATAATTTTATTCTCCCACTCTTCTATATTTATTAATAATATATTATTTGATCCCAAAATTAATAATGAAGATCCGTCAATGATATTAAAATTAAAAATAAAACAAGTTTATATCAATTAAACTAAACTAATTTATTTTAAATTAAAAATAAATAAATATTAATTATACTTTTACCAATAAATAACATTTATTATTTGTTTGAAATGTTTCTTAACTTCTATATTTTAATTGAAAAACACTTATATGAAATCAGTGATCAGAAATTATGATTTCTTCCATAAATTTCAGAGTGCCACTCCATTATGCTGATAAGGCGTAGTCAACGTCAATAAGTATGTTAGGCTTGTGTAACTTTCTAACCACCAAAAAGAAGAAAATTTGTTGACACTGACTAAACATGTAAGAAATAACTTTTCTGAGTTAGGACACGTTTTGCAAAAAAAAATTGAAATAAAAATATATAAAAAGCAAATAAAAATAAATGCCAAACTACAAAATAATAAATTAAAATTCACATGAAAATTCATAATTTTTTTTTTCCTTTTAATCTTTATATAAGGAAATCATTAAGTATTTTATATTAATTACAAATATGATAAATTGTAATTAGATTAACTAAAGATATAATAAAATTATATATAAATGAATATAATTTGATTTTATAAAATTTAATTAGCCTATAAGTTCAATTCCTAATATTAATATTATTTAAATTAAGATTTAAGATCAAACGAATTACTCACAGTCTATGTAAGTTCCAGTTTCAGATTGAGAATTTTGTCATGGTTAATTACTGGCAGATATTGGAGATGAAAAATATTTTGTAGAAGTCTTATTAATTTAGTCATAAAATAGATAAAATATAAAAATTGAATATAAAATCGTTATATTAAAACTTAAGATATTTTGAAATCACGTGTCTGTTATTATATATATATAAGGAACTAGATCATTAAATCCTTGCCTTTTGATGCATAAAATCTGAATGTTATAACTACCATAGTTTTGTCTGAACCCTGTGGCTAATCCATCTTTGTCCTCCACAATAAGTTAACAGGGAAAGCTGAAAAAAAAAAATCAATATCATTATTGAATAACATATATTTCTGTAATTTGATTAGCTTTAATTTTTAAAAACAAAGCTTATATATATATATATATATATATATATATATATATATATATATATATATATATAAATTTCGGTAAAATAAACTGATTTTGATTTTGATGTCTAAAAAAATTACTTTATTTTTAATAAAAAAACACTACTTTTGATCATAAATGTTAATTACATCATACTTTTTAATTATTTAGATGATCTTATTTAGATGATCGCATCAACCGTTAAGAAATTTGTAAGGGTTATTTTAACAGAGAACTTAAAATATTTTATAACAAGTTGTTAAGATATATTTAAAAAGAAATTAAGAACTAATGATAGTCATTTGATTATTTAAATTTAGAGATTTTTTAATTTTATTTACAAAAAAAAAATAACTTTTTTTTCTTACTTTATGTAAGTTTGTTCTCTTTTTGCTTAAATCTCCATTGAGACATTTTAATTTATGGGGATCCAACCTAAATAATTTGGTATAATTCGACCTACCTCATTCGTTCTAGTGTGATTATTTCAAAATTATTTGACTAAGATAAACATTACTTAAATAATTAAATCTTAAAAACTAATTTAGTAAAATAGTTTACGTGAGATTTCTCAACACATATTCTCATATCAAGAAAGATTTTTTCACCACACGTTCTCATATCAATGATAAATGGTCTAATATTGGTCTCATAATGAGTTATTTAAACTATAATCATTAACAAATAATATTTAAACGTTGTTAGAGTTGACTCTAATATCTTATTAAAAATTGGTGAGATATTTCAATAAATCCTACAAAACGACTTAGTAAGGTGAAGATTGTATTCACCTATATATTATTATGCTATCATATTTTTAGTCGATGTATACTTTCTTAACACCTAGTCCATCCCAACTTGATCAAAACCAACCTAACTTAACTTGTTTTGACCATATCCATCTGAACTTGACCAAAATTAATCTTAGTTAACCTGATACTACTAAACTCATTTTAATACAACTTAACTTACTAACGTGACCTAACTCATTATTTTTCAATCCAATCCAATTTGACTGACACAACACTTCCTAACTTAGTTTCAACTATATTTGATCTTATCTATGTAATATGTCTCAATCTAATTTCTCATAATGTCACCCTCTTGAGTAAAAGTCGTATACTATGAGTTATGTATACTATGAGTTAGGTTACTTCTCAATCAATGTAGAATTGATAATTTTTGTCACTAGTACATAAATCACTTTTAACATCGGTCTTCCCACATCGGTTCTTAGAAAGTGATTTCAAGACTTTTCACATCGGTTTAGTTAGGAACCGATCGGTTCATCCGATTCATCTAGAACCGATGTAGAAAACACTTTTTACATCGGTTCCCAAATGAACCGATGTAGAAAGTCTTTTTATAAAATTAAGAGAATTGTTACTGACAAGATTTGAACCAAGTACCTTAGAATTAAAGACTGATATTCCAACCACTAAACTACTAGAATTTTCTGATAATAACTTATAAATAAATTATATTTATATACATATAAAAATGTATATCCATGTAAATATATAAATACAAATACAAATATATTTATATATTTATATGTTGGATGTGAGAGCGCGCTCGAGAGTGAAAGTGTGTGTCAAGTGGGTTTTCAAAATTTGATGTCAAATTTGTAAGCGAGTCTCTTTATATGAATTTATAATTTAATGATAGAATATAATCTTTATAATTTATTTATAATGATATAGAATATAATCTTTATAATTAATTTATATAATGATATAAAATAAAAAAAATATTTTATATCATTATATAAATAAATTATAAAGATTATATTTTGTCATTATGTTATAATCCATATAAAGAGACCCGCTCACAAATTTGACATCAAATTTTGAAAATTCACTCGACACACACTTTCATCCTCGAACGTGCCCTCACATCCAACATATAAATATATAAATATATAAATATATAAATATATTTGTATTTGTATTTATATATTTTATATTTATATATTTACATGGATATACATTTTTATTTGTATATAAATATAATTTATGTATAAGTTATTATCGAAAAATCTTAGTAGCTTAGTGGTTGGAGTATCGATCTCGACTCTAAGGTACTCGTGACGAACCCGATGACAATTCTCTTAATCTGAAAATGCTACAACCAGCCCATTAATTGTTAAAGCTTCCATCCTTGACATTCATTCATAATAATTTCCTCGTAACCTAAATATAAAATAAAGAAATAGTTAATGATATAATCAACCAATCAATAATTCCTAAAATATATAATAAAAATTATTATTGGACTTTCTACATCGGTTCTAGAACTAATGTATAAATACTCTATGTAAAAAAATTTAAACTAAATAAATTTAAGATATTTTATCTAAAAAAATTATTTCAAAAACTTAATTATTTAAAATAAAAGCAATTTTAATTTTCTATAAATTATACATTTTTCTATAAAATAATACAAATAACAATTGTAATTGTACAACAATAGTTGTTATTTCAAGTTTCTTGAAAATATATAGACTACAACACAATTATGCACAATAATTTAAATTAGAAAAAAATGTCAAAATTACAATAATTTAAATTGAATCAATTTCTTCAATATGGCCTCTTTTAGAGATAATGTGTTAAATAATTTCAGACAAATTCGTTTTTTTATAAATGTTGAATTTATGAGAGATTTTTATTTCCTTTTAAATATTATTTTTAAAATTTAAGACATGACTAATTATTATTTTCTCATTTATATTTTTATTCTTTATTTAATCTTTAATTAATTTACATATGAATTTATTATGATATAACATGAATAAGGATAAAATAGAAAAACCTAATATATATATTTATTAAGATTAAGAAAATTTAATATTTTCTTTTTATCTACCAAAATATTTTAAACACACTTAAAAAAGAAAATGGAGAAAATATCAATTATATAGAAAACATGATAATATATAGTTTTAGAAAAGGAAAAGTTTGATATGATTTCACACTTATAAAACTTCAAAAAAGAATATTAAAATGGATGAATGATATGATATTAAAATTTTTGAAAATATAAAGCTCTCGAATTTCTTAAACATCACTCTATTGATGATAATCCAAATAAAAACTATTGATAAGTCTCACACATTTGGATGATATATATTTATAACTTATTTTTTCTCATAATTCATACTGTTTTCACTAACTAAACATTATTTATAATTATTTTTTTTATAATAACAAAAACAGTTTAATAATTTTGAGATAATATGATAACTTAACTCCTATAACCAAGAGTTTCCACTGAATTAAATTATTATGTAGCCTTTGAAAAGTTTTGAAGAGCCCAGTAAGTGTTGCTCCAGGCAAAGCCCAATCCTTTCTGTAATAGCCTCTTTCTTCCTACACCTCACAATGTTTATTATAAAAAATAATATTATTTTTGTGTGTTTTAATATTGGACTGTATTGGATTCATAAATTCAAAACATGTAACCTTTTATTTAAACTCTCGCCCAAACTATCCAAAATATATAAATATAATGTTTTATAAAGTTTTAGATTGAAAAATCCAAATTCTTTTTGAGTAAATAGATAAAATATTAAATAAATCAACATATTTCTAGATTCCACAATAAATATATATATATATATATATATATATATATATATATATTAAATTTTTTAATGCTTAACTGTAATTCAATTACAATTCATTTGACATTGCTTCAATTAAATTTAAATAATAATAATAATAAAGAAATATTGTTATAAAAACAAAATAATAAAAATATCAGAAATAATAATAATAATATTATATTTATTATTATTATATATTATTTAGTTATATATTTATTATTTTTATTATTTTATTTTTATTATTATTATTAGTGAAATAAAAGATAATAATTGTATAATGATAATAAAAAAATAAATAAAATAACAGTAATGATAATATTATTATTTTTATTATTATATTTTTATAAATTATTATTATTTTACCTTTTATTATTTTTTATTATTGTTTAAATTGAATTGTAGTGCAATTGAATTGCAATTGAAACATTCGATGTTTTATAGGATTGTGCAATCCCGAATAATGTTGATTTATTCAACATTTCATATCAATTTATTAGGAAATTTTTGGATTTAAAAATTTAGAAATTTTTTAAATTTAACAATATAAAATTTTATAAAATATTATTTTTATATTTTTCATATTATTTAATTTGAAACTAAAAAAATTATATATTATATATTTATTAATTTGGAGTTTGTTTTCGATTTATTAATTTAAAATATTTTGTTAAATGTAGTATTTATTTCGACATATATTAAGAGGTCATCCAGATCAGTAGCTTGGTTTGATTTTATTAAAAATAAATAAATCAAATAAATATTTTATAATTTAATTTTAATGAATTTTATGTTTTTTATCATTATAATAAAATAATTATTAAATTAAAACATATTATAAAAATATTATATATAATTAATTATTATAATATTTATAATTTTAATTTATTTTCTTATTTTTTATAAATATAAGAAGTTAACTAATTTACTAAATATTTAATATTATTTTATATTTTAATTTTAATAATACATTATAATTAATATATTATATTTTCGTTTTGATTGAATCTGAGTTGATTCTTCAGTATTAAATTAAAAATCATAAAAATTTGGTTAATTTTAAAAATTTTAATTTTTTTTATTAAAATAAAAACAAATCAAGTTTGTTCACTTTTCAATTTTTTATTATTATTTGATTTTAAAAAATACTCTAAAAGAAACAGACAGATAATATTATATTTTATAGTAACAGGGTGCAGAAATCACTTATGGTGTGCAATAAGAATTGTTTTGTTTTTGTTGTGAATTTGGATTTTAATTAGTTTTTTATTTTTCTAATTTGGGCCATATCTTCATTTCATAAACTACAGTACATGATCCAAGTTTAAAGATTTAAATATGACCCCTTCAAAACATGGTTGTAGATGAAAGGGTGTTAAAGGTTTCATTTTAACATAAAATTAAATATGAATATTTTTAGTTTATAAAAATAAATATGAATCTATTAGGTTGATTTGGTTCAAACTTTATTTTTTTTATCGTTAATTGAAACTAATTCAATTAAAATAGTATTAGTTTGGTTCATAGTGCTAAGTAATGTTAAAAAAACTGATCATATTTTATAAAGTTTTCATCATTACCTTTTTCTTACATAACTTTTTATTTTACTTATTATGTATTTATATAAAATTTAAACTATGCTAATAACATTCAGTCATCTATTTTTTTTAATAAAAATTAGTTAACGTAAAATTAATTGATACTCTATACATATAAAATAATAATAAAAAAAACTTTATAAAATACGTATTTTCAATATTCCATTGCTTTCATATTATGTCAAAATAATATAAAATATTCACGAACCTTTAGGAAATTGGTATACATTTTTTTTCATAATTATTTATCCTTCACCTGGTTTTCTAAATCACCCTACTATTCTATTTTAACTTATCAAGTGAAAAAAATATATCTTATATCTTTTGTATCTTCTAAGAATAAATATTAAATATCATCATTGATTGAAAAACATATATTAATAAAGTTGTTATTACATAGAAAAGAAATTTGACAAAAAAAATCAACTCAAAATAATTCAATTGTATTAAAGTTTTTCGGTTCCATAATAACTTGTGATTAAGACAGATTACCAATTGCATTAGTCTTATTAGGCTAACAACAATCTAATAATACATATTTTTTGGACATGTCATTTCATATGATTAACCCAAATGTACCTAGATTCTATGCTCTAGATAATAGTATATGTAGCAATCACATCTTGGTATAAAACACTGATGAAAATATTCACAGAATTTTTAAGGTCCCATGGTACACTGCAGGTATTAAATTATTTGGAATTAATAATAGGTGAAAGTGATGAATGAAAAATCACCTGCACTGCACATCAATATTGTTCTTTATTGAAGTGAGTAAAGATTCCTTAAAGAAAAGTACATAGCATGATGCCATTCATCCATGTATTAAATAAAGTTCAATAATTTACCTTGGTGGTGCACATGGCAAGGACAAGAGTAACAGTCCAGCAAATGGAGCCACTTTTCTTAAATAGAAAATGGCAGTGAAGAAGGGGAAGGGTTGTGGCATATATATTATGATAATGTTTTCTGACTCTGAGTGAGGCCAACCCATAACTCAAAATTCTAGAGGGAAATGACCCCAAGAGTGTGTCCTTCATGTGCAACGACAATTGCACCAGACAATTCTTACTGTCCAAATGTGTTGAAGAAGTTGCACCCTTGTGGGTCTATGTTTGAAACCAGTACCTTTCCTAATATTGAGCCGTGGATTCTGTCCCCAAAAACTTTTTTGCTAATTGATTATCCCAGCACAACGGTGAAATTGGTCATTAGGATCTGACAGTGGACAGATAGGGACTGTAACAGTTGATGCGTGCATGTTGTAGGTTTTGTGCATATATATGGCTGCTAGGAACTGCTTTTGGTTCATAAGAGTTGTGTTGTGTAGTAGTCATGGGCTCTTTCAATCACTATGTGCTTGTTAAGTTCAAGGATGGAGTTGCAGTTGAAGAACTCATTCAAGGGTTGGAGAAGATGGTATCTGGGATTGACCAAGTCAAATCCTTTGAATGGTATAAAACCATATTCTGCTTTACTTTGATTCAAGATAGTTTGTGTTCTTTCTCGCTACAGATCCTTTTCTGAATTTACTTGACTGGTTTAGTTTTGTGTGATCTATGTGGTGTGGACATCACTTTAGATAAGGTTTTGTTGTTGTATCTCAGTGATCAATGATGATCACCTTTTAGATTTAGAAACATCCAGTCAAAGTTTCCCTTGATTTTCTTTAACCTGAAACAATTCATATGTTTACTATGAATCTCACATGTTTGAATGACAGGGGAAAGGACATTGAAAGCCATGATATGCTAAGACAAGGTTTCACTCATGCTTTCTTGATGACATTCAATGGGAAAGAGGAGTTCAACGCATTTCAGACTCATCCAAATCATGTTGAGTTCTCGGGAGTGTTTTCACCTGCTATTGAGAAGATTGTGGTGCTGGATTTTCCATCTAACCTTGTCAAAGCACCAGCATGATCCTCAACTTACTCAAGCAATTAAACTTTCCATCTTTAAAGTGCATGCATGTGTGTGCATCCCCTATTTGTAGTCTTTTATGCTTGTTCCTAGTTCCTATATGCAATTTTAACTTAATAATAAGATCTCTATTTTTTTTTTCTAATTAATGAAAGTTCTAGCATTTGAATTGGTTAATAATACTAAAATGTTTCATGGCATGAATGCTCATCAAATACTGTTAATTCTCTCCATGTTTCTGCTACCATCTGATATGGGATAACACATTTATTAGGATTCTAATATCACAACACACTCTTTTCACTCAGTAACTCAGAATTGAGATCTGAGAGGGTGTGAAATTCTTCACAAAGGTGCAAGAATGATTTTTCATTATCTTTTAACTTTTATTATGTGTTTTCATGGAATTAAGACAAAATCAGATTCAACCAATTCCACTAAAAACCATTAGTATAATAAAAAACTATATCAATAATTCATATACTCTATATTTATTTTATCAGTTCTTTTTTCATCTTTCTCTTCTTTTTCTGTCACTTTCTCCCTTCTTATCTGTCTCTTTCTTACACTTCTTTATGAAATTTACACTCAACATCTTCCTTTTACTTTTTAAGTTAAGTTTGGAACTTTTATCTTTTTTTTTTCTCTTATTTTCAATCTTTTTTTTCTTGTAGTCTCCTAATTCAACTATAAGTTAAGGGCAGCCTAGAAGTGCATTATCAGCCCTATGAATAGAGAGCCCAAGAAGAAGGGTACCTTTCATAGTTTAAAAAAAAGTTACGAGTTTTTTAATATAAATATGGTTTTTATTATATTAAAATTAAAATTGATAGTCCTTATTTGTTATTTGAAAAAAAATTTATATATATTTAAGATTTACGTATTAAAATTAAATTTTGTATAAATAATAATAAAACAAATATTTATTGTTTTATCATGAATCTACAAATGTTAGAACTCATTTAATATAAAAAGGATTATGAGCAGTTGCAAGAGCTCAATTTATTTTTTAAATAATATAAAATTAGGAGTATGTTCTCTAAATATTATATTCTCAATTACTCAAGTTTATCATAGAATAATGATTAATAAATTTAAATATATAAAATTAGAGGATAAAATAATTTTTTTAGATACTTAATAATAATTTAAAAAAGACGCTGTACACTCTGAATATATATTATGTAATATTAATAATAATCTTTACCTAACTCGTAGTATATATATATATATATATATATATATATATATATAATTATATATATATATATATATATATATATATAATGAAAAATTTGTAATAAATATGAGTTTGAAAATAATATTTCAAATGAAATGATATTTGATAAATTAATTATTCATTTAAATTTATTAAATTATTTTACTACTATCACTTTATTCATATTTTATGTTATATATACATGTTTTATGCAATTTATTAAAATTTATTATATATGAAATTCTAATTTCTTAAATATATAAATTTATATTACCCACGTGCAACATTAATCATTGTTCAGTTTGAAATAAAACTATGCACATTGTGATTTTTTGATCATTGGATTCTCTAAATATGTCAACAAATGCATATATTTTGGGTACTTTAGATGCATTGTTGCAAAATTCAATGTTTCAATAAAGAACATTTGCCTAAAAAGCCTAAACACCAAATCTACTTTAGCAGGGTAGGAAATGATTAAGAATGGTGAAACACATTGAATATGCAATAAAACATCACTAATTCTCTTTGGAAGGATGGTCTAGTAAAGTAATGACAAGTCCAAAAGTAAAGTAAAATTTGTAATTTATTTATTTTTTACTTTTATTTATTTCATTTCACTCTTTTAACTTTTACACATTCAACAAATTAGTCCTTTTTTAGTTTTACTTGACTTTTTCTGATATCAATGTTAAGTTATCTTCATATGAAATTTTATATTATTAATTATATTTTAATATTATAATTTAAAAAGTTCAATAAATTTGTCCTTACATTGTTACCCTTTTTTATCTTAGCTTTTTGTTTCAAAAGAATCTCAGTTACAATAAAAATAGGGTTTTCTAATCTTGAGGATGAACCCAAGGTAAATATTATTATTTATTGTTTATTTTTAAAAAGGACACTCCTTGAAATAGTTTGATTTTTTTTTCCAAACTTTTCGTTTGTCTTTTTTATACTGCATTAAGTTTTCTAAGCATATATGCTTCCAACAATTCCAATGATCCAAAAGTGATGAAATTATTTATTTATAGGTGCAAAATGTGTCGTTATAGTGTAATGAATGTATATCTAAATATTAAACTATACTATTTGTATTAAAATTTCAAATATGCTGCAATGATACTAATTACACATTTTAACTAACATCATTTGTATTAACATTAAAGTTTTATAAATTTGAAAAATTAACACGATGTAGTACGAAGTGGTAGACAAGTTCAACTCAAACAATTTATCTAATTTGCACATTGTAAAGAAGCATTTAACTTGAAAAATTCTTTGAACAAATTACATAAAATTTAAAACTTAAGTATTATACTTTGTTGTTTTAGAAATTTCTACTTCCCTCTTCAATGCAAATTTTTTTGTCAATATGTGTATATATGAATTATGATTGTTTTTTTTATAATTTTTTTTTCTAAAAGTTAGAGACTAATCTCTTTCAATATCAAACTTTATTTAAAGAATTAATATATCTCAACATATACTAATTTGTATACATAACCTGAAAATTGAATTTATTTTATATTTAAAATTATCATCTACTAACTATATTGCATCATATTATGATAAATATTCTTTTAAATAAAAGAAACATATATTTAAATTGTTTTAATGACTTTTTTTTTGGAAGAACAACTTAAATAGGTGTCATTGGTTCACCCTCAAAATTATAATATCCTGGTTTTCCACCCATTCTTGAAAAAAAAATACTTATTTTTAATAGAAATTAAGAGAAGGAGAAAAATGAAAATATAAATTTGTTGGATTTTAAAAGTTTGAGGAATAAAATAGTATAACACTCAAGTCAATAACTTAACACTGTTACAAAGTAAGTTAAATTGAAATGACGGAAAGATCTAATTTGTTGAATTATAAAACTTGCAAGACCAAATGAAATAGATAAAAGTTGGAAATATAATAAGAAAAAAGTTGTGAAGAATTAAAGTAGTAAATTGACCCACAAAAAGAAAAAGAAAAGGTTTTGAGATTTGAAGCCTAAGATTCCTCTCAAAGCAATGTCCTTTTTCTAGTGACTAAGAAAAAGAAAGTCACTAACCATCCATGGGACCAACTTATACAGTGATTTGGAAGTAGTGTTTTCTAGAGTTATTAACACCATGCTTTCCTATCAATTATGATCAGAAAGAAACCTACAGAAAATATTAGAATAACTTAGCGACATTCTTTGCATCGATAGAGAAAAGGGATGAACATGAAGCCATTCAAGGAACCACAAATTCTTCATTCTTTACTCTTACTCAATATCATAGCATTAGGTTCTTCTATACCCCAGCAAAATCATGCAAACTACTGTGGGAATATCAAAACTCAAACACCTTTCTTGAATTCCAATTCTTCTATATTAGATAGCATCACCTTGTGCATATCTCAGAATCTCTACTTGAGAACATCCCTTGGCCTTTTTCATGTTTCATCACTTGACTACAATGGCAGATTACTAACCATCACTCACTCTTCTTGTTCTTCTCTCCAATATGTTTCTCCTCTGGCTGTCACAACGGGTTTCCCTTCTCCTGAACCTAACTCACTTGTTCTCTTCAATTGTTCAAGCAGAAGAGACCCCATTTTACCAATCATGCAAAATTGTAGGGACTTGTACAAATGTGGAGGTGCAGTTTCACCATCTTTTACGACTCAAGATCACCAGAACCATCCTCATTCATGTTTAGTTGTTGAAGATCTGAAAAAAGTTTATAAGGGTTTTCACCCTGAGCATCTGAACTGCTCTCATTACAGCTGGGTACATAGAAGTACTTCAGATGGTGGACATGATCAAGGATATAAGGTGGGAACCAGGTTATCTGTTGACATTCCTCGAGTGCCAGAAATTTGTCAAGGGTGTGAAAAGCCTAATGGAAGCTGTGGTGCCGGGTTGAATTGTTTATGTCACCCTAAAGAGTGCAGTAAGTACCTTGGTCATTTGACATTTACCAAGATTTTTATTCAACAAAACTTATGAGCAGTTATATATAGGTGTCGTAAGTGTTATTATTCTCTAATTAAAACTAGAGTTTTATCTTAATAATCTATGGAATAAAAAATTCACATACAAGGTCAACATGAATTTTGTCTATTCTTATTTTGCTTTCCTTTTGATTTGAGTTATGAGGAAACTATGTGATGACTCTGACTCAATGACTGATGAAAATTTTGCAGAAGACAAGGTCATATCTAAGGCTGGGATAAAATCTACTGGTAGTGTTTTTTCTCTATGCTTTCTTTCATTGGTTCTGTTACTGTTGCCTTCTCCATGCGTGTCGAAGAAAGTTTAGCTAAGAGTTGGTTTGTTAGGTAAGACTACATGGTGGCTATACACGTCATTTCTAAACCCATCTAATATGTAAAATCTTCAAACATATTCTGTTAACTGTAACTGGCACAAAACAGTGAACATGATGAACCTTGTATATTTATCTAAAGGATTTCAAAGTAAAGCTCAGATTGAAAGTTGGTTAGGAATGGAAGATGAAATGATCATTGAAGCTTCAGTCACAAGCTCCTTTAAGAGCAAATCAAGACAAATTTGCACGTCAATTTATAGATATATATCACAATCACACTAAGAATTAATGCAATTGGCCTTGTTAATAGAAGCTGCTCTATGTGATGGTCATGACACAATAAAAATTATTTGCTGATGATTTTCTTGAGTATTTGATAGTAGCTTCAACAAGGTTGTCTACTTTTCAGAAATCAAAATAATAATTGGATTTTGGTCCAAGTAGGTCTGTGACTAAACTGTTTAAGGGGCTTATAGGAAATCTAATTATTCATTTTTAATATACAGTCAAGTTATAACTGAAGCTGAAACTCTGTTAAGGGATTAGGAGTTCTATTAAAATACCTAAGAATTTCAACATCTCAGAAATCAAAATATATTAAACTTGAACTTTTAAATTGATTTACTTTTTAAATGTTTTATTGGATGAGATAATTAAAAAAAATAATTTTAATTTACTTATATAAAGTATCAATAATAGGGATAACAACTTGTCACAGTTTGATCAGTTCTGTCTCTAGTATGTTAAAAATAAGGGTTAAGATAGATTAAATTATCATGATCAGGATGGATTATAGATTTTGGTGCATTGTGTGAAAGAATAGGTTTATATATATATATATATATATATATATATATATATATATATATATATATATATATATATAATTTTTTAAATTAAATTTTAATTATATAAATTTTTTAAGTTTTTATTTATTAATTAATATTTTTATTGAATTAATTGAGAAAATTATTATTTTGTGTGTTAAATATCAAATTATATTTAATATTTTAAGTTTAATTGATTAGTATTTATGATTTAAATTATAACATTATTGTATATTTGAATATTCTAATAATATAAGATAAAAAAATATAATATTATAATTTTTTATTTTAATTTTAATATATAAATATTTTTTTTAAATATAGCAATCTACCTCGTTCCATCCTTGGTCCGTCTCCTTCCATCCTTGGTCCGTAAGGTTGACAGACTAGGCAAGACAAGATGAAACAGGTTGATAAACTAAAATTACCAACTTGTCCCATTAATTTTAGGTAAGATGGTGAATTAACTTATTAGGCTTAAGTTGTTTTGACATTTCTAATCAATAGGAGTTTCAAAAGTTAATTTTCATGTGGTGAATAACGTAATTGCACATAAACATGAGACCCATTTGGCTTAAAAGATCTATAAATAGTTTTGTCAAAATTATTTTCAATAAAGAAATCCGTGACGCAAGCATATCCATATTTCAATTCATGATGATTTTACCTATTACAAAAGAAGGAAAGATTCTTGTTACAAGTGTTTACCCGAAGGAAAATCCATCTTTATCGATATGGTTAATCGCATGAGAATAACCATTAAAATATGTATTCCTGATTGTGATTGTTGGAAGAAGATGAAGATAACTTAGGTAGATCTTGTAAACCATACTCTCCCCATAAAAGATCCGAAGCCAGAAAAGGTCCATGAGTTAGACTTCGTCATCAAGAGAAGTTAGATCCCCTCTAGATCTTCAAAAGAGGTTTAAAACTTCTTTGAGAAGAATAATTTCCTCCACCCTAACAACCTAAATGTTAACCCATTATATATCACCTCTTACTACTTCATTTATTCTATATATGAAGATTAACCAACACCATAAGATGAAGAATTCCCTTCACTTAAATGAAAGACTAATCTAGTTTCTAAGATAATAACTAACACTTGTGTAGTTTGTTAGGAAATGGACTTGATGGAAAGATAAAACAATTAAGCCATGCATAAGAAATATTAAATTGGCAAATAGAAAGTGTCAAGTCCAATTACCTAACAAATTATATGAGTTACTTATTATCTTATACACTAGATTAGTCTTTCATTCAAGTAAAGAAAATTCCATATCATATATATTGATTGATCATCATACATGAAATAGGTGGAACAATAAAAGGTGACATATAATTGGATTTGCATTTAGCCTATCGGGGTGGAAAAAGGCTTTCTCTAAGAAGTTATTGACACCTTTTGTCGATCTAGAGTGGATCTGACTTCTCATGAGGAGGAAGTTCACTCTATGGACCTTTTATGGATTCAAATCTCCTATAGGGAATGTATAGTGGTTTATAAGATCTACCAAAGTCATTTTCATTTTCTTTATTCTCCTCTTTATCTTCATTTTCTTCATCCTCCTTTTCATCACTAGAATCTCTGGTATAGTTTTAACAATCGTCATTAGGATCACACATTTTAAGGATTGTATCTCATTTGAAATTTTTATTAACCCTATTAGTGAAAATTAGTTTTCCGTCAGAATAGATACTTGCAATTGGAATCCTTCCTTCTTTGGTAACTGGTAAATTCATCATGAATTGTAATATGAAGGTGCTTGAACTAGATATTTCTTCAAGATTTTTGAAGATAGCTTAGACAGAACCATTTACAAATCTTTTGAAAATGACTTTAGTGAACTAAATAAGTTTCTGACTTATGGACAATTTCTCATAATTGGTAACCAATTATATGAGAATTAACTTTTACAACTCCTGTTAAGAGATATTTTTAGGGATCTAGAGAATAAAAAGTGTTTCATCTTAATTGTTAGTAAGAACAAACAAGGGGTCATCTTTGCATGAAGATAATGCATGATTGATAACATCGTCTCGTAGTCGATAGATTATTTGGTGGTGAAGAATTGTCAATAATGTATCAAATACTTGTTCAACTCCATTAATTAAAATTTGGACCTTTAGTCTTTATGATATGAATGAATTTCTTAAGCTACCATTAAAGTTAGGAAAAATGATTGAAAAATGATTAAAATAATAATCCCTATGTGGAGAGTGATGAACACCATATCAATTATCGCATATTCATAATACAAATAATTAAAGACAAAAAGTGATGTTTTATATGAGATAGGTAGTCGATATCTTCCATGGAAAAATACAACTAATTTGATTACTTCATAATAAAAATGATTGTATCCTTCATTTTGTTAATATTTAATGAGGTTTTTAGGTATTTCAATATTGACTTATTATTTTTGTGTGATGTTACTAAAGAACACTCGTCCACTTTAAAATACTAAATATATTTTTTTATGTTAAGCCTCTTAGTGAAGATGAGTTTGAAAATAAGTTTAAAAGTAAATCTTTGTCTTTTGAATATGTTATAAAAACTTAAAAGATAATTGTATGTCTATGAGATTTGAACATCTCCCAAGAAATATAAGAGTATTCAACGACGTTTTTTATTTTTGAAAATAGTGTTTTAGTAATATTTTTTAGATGAGAAATAGGAGGGTTTAATAGAATTGATTGAGATTTATGTTGTGTTGGAGAATTCATATTTAAGAGATTCTTTTAGTTACATTCTATATATATATATTTTATGTTATCATATCTCCTTTTCAAAAAATAATTTGGCTTTCATACTCTTTGGGATAATATTCTCGTAATGTGAAAATAAGATACACATACAAATATTAAAAATATTTAATATAATATTTAATAATTTAAAAATATCAATTTATTTTTTTCAAAACTATTATTAAATTGAACTAAAAAATATATTAATAATATTATATATTTATGAGAATTTTCTAATTCTATTTTTTTTTATCAATATCAATCATAATTATTTTAACTAATATCATGACTAATTTTTAAATGTAATTAATTAGGTTTCTTGACATTTCCATCAATATTTGTTAGATAAATTCTTTAGAGCACATAAAAAAAACAATTTTAAAAGTGATGTCATAAAAAAAAATTTATGTAGACATAGACCAAAAAAAAATTAAGCCTAAATGAAAAAAAAACATCAATGAAAACTATTTTGTCGATATTACTAAAGAAAAACCTAACTAACATTAATTAATAAATAATTATGACTAATATGAATTATTAAAATAAAAGATTTTGAATAATATTTCCAATCATGATGGAGTATACTGTATCTTGATTAGATTAACATTAATAACATCTAAAAAACTTAATATCGATTCAAGATTTGAGGATTAGAAATGAAATTTCAAATTTTTACTTTTCTCTTAGATAAAAAATTGAAATAATGTCATTTTAAAATCATTATCTTTTAAAATTTTAATTTATTTTAAATTTTCATATCTAAAAAATATATTTTATTATAAAACACTTCAATTTCTCTAAATAAAAATATTTATCCTCCAAAACTTACTTATCTAAACCTAGCAAATAAAATGCCTAGAAGCAATGAAATAGCAATTTGAATGTTAAAAAAATATAACCCAAAAATGCGTGTTTAATCATAAGAAAAACACTGAAAATTGACATCTTAATCGAAATTGAAGAGAAAATAAAAAGAATTGATGGTCAGAAAAATAATCATCACATGGAACAATTGTAAATTCGAATATTTTAATAGTGAAGGATATTGACTATCTCTTACCCACCAGTCAACAAAAATATATTCGCTATTCGTCGATATATATATTTTTATTAATTAAGATTTTTTTTTAATTTATAAGAATACGTGATATCCATCAATATTTTTTTATTTTATTTAATTTTAAATAAAATTATTCTTTAAGGTATATATTTTAATATTTTTTATCATAAAATATAATTTAAATAAAATAAAATAATAAAATATTAATAAAAATAAAAATATTTTTTATAAAATATTAATTCAAATAAATTATAATACAAATTTAACATATTAATTTTTTAAATAACTTTAATTTCATAAACTTTAATAAAATATATAAATATATTTTAATTTTAATTAATTTTTTAACAGTTAATATTTTTATTAATAATTTATTTTAAAAAATATTAAATAAAATTTATTAGTGAAGGGAAGGACTAAATTATTGTGTTCTTTCTCTCAATTACTTTTACCCATAATATTTAATAATATAAATACAGAAAATTTTATATATATATATATTCAGTTTTGACGAACCAATGACAGTGGTTTTTTGGTCTAAATGTATTATATTGTATTGTACCTACTAGAAATTGAATTAATGTATGAAACTTGGGCCTCTAATGCACACAAAATATCCATTGTAATAAATGGGCTTTTCGGCCTAGAGCACCTCACAACTGGACTTTGGACCCAAATATGGAGTGACATCTTTATTTTTTTGAGTATAGTTGTATTAAGATTTAATTATAATTTTAATATTCTAAATATTTTAATTGTCAGTTTAGTCTCTCAAAATTTATTTTTATTAATAGTATAATTTTAATCTGTTGTCATGAAAATATTATTAAATTAATAAATTATATAAATTTTTGTTGAATATATAGGAATGGATACAAATTTTAAATTAATTTGAAAAAAATAATGATGAATTATAATTCAAAATTCTTTTTATCTAGCTCATCCAGTGTAATATTTCTCTTCCTGATAAATGTTATTATAAAGAATATTTAAATATATTTTTAAATTTTAAAACTTTTTCTACACTTGTTCTCTATTTTGTGTCTTTTTCCCCATTTGTTAGAAAATAGGCATTAAGGTAGGAGGTTAGGTAAAATAACATAACTTTTGAGGAGAACACAATCAACTCATTTAAAAATGGGGGAAGGAAGAAGAAGAAGAAGCATGTGAAGAATTTTTGCCGAGTGCGAAAGTAACATCCACCAAACAGCACCCAAGATGCAAAACCAGGAAAGTAACATGTAAAGCATAATGGAAACGTACTTATTATGCAAATGAAAAAAATAAAAAAATAAAAAATTGAAAGATGACTTACACTGTTAGTAAATAGCAGAAACACTGAACACATCTTTGCACTTTATTTTGAACATAGTGGAAAGGAAAAGGTAGAACAGTAGCCACAAAGGCATCAAATCGTTTCATTGGACTATATTTCAGTACACAATCGAATGAGTTAAACACCGATGCAGAACAAAAATTGTATTGGTGTAACATTTTTATGAAATACTATATAGCAGATAGAAAAAAGATAAACATTTGAAATAAAATTATTCATGTGATCAAATGAAGTCAGGAAATTTTAAAGTAATATTGTAAGAAGTGTTATAAAAATGTTGGTATAAAAAATAATTATAAATATAAGAATGAGTTGAAATTTATATTAAATAAAAATAAGAAAATTTAATAATTTACAAAGAAAGATAAAAATAAATAACTTAAAAAGGTTTTGACAATATTATATTTTCTTGTATAATTTACTAATATTTTATTAAAAAATTATCTAATGAATAAAATGTATTACAATTTTTCCCTTCAAACCTCGTTATATTTCAATTCTCTCTTTATATCCCTGTTTTTATAAATATTTATCATTTCCTCTGGTGTATAGTTTTATTTTTTTTGAAAAATACTTATATATATATATATATATATATATATATATATATATATATACTATCTCGGTTAAAAGTCTCATAAGTTCATAAACACATTTTTTTATACTTTTCTAAAAACAAAACAAAGCCATATAATTTATATAATATGTAGACAGAATTAATAAGTCTAAAGGCATATTACAAACAAGCAGGAGGCATAAAAAACAAGAAAAACCCTTATAAATTGTAGGAAGTTAACAATGCAAGAAACTTGAAGATGGGATATGATGCAGTGAAAAAGTTGTAAATAAAGTAAATGTGGCATTTGAAATTGATTTTATGCAAAGTAAGGCTATCCATTCCTCACCCACTTGGGGTGTGAAACGAACATTTGTATCACTTTTGAAACGCATGCATTAACAAAGTAGGTGATGATGATTTGGTTGAGAGAGTGAAGTGGAATTTTGGAGGGACCAGAGTCATGAACACATGTCAAGGCTTCTCAGGACAGAGGAATAGACCATCATACACAATCAAAGGTTCCACCACGCCAGTAAAGACAAACCCAATATTTAAAATGTTGGAACTTCCTTGCTTTGGATCATTTTCGTATGAAAGAGACCCGACCAAACCAAACCAGACCTTATTTTCCCTCTCAACTAATTCATCCATGCCAGAATCCTCTGTAAATTCTTCTAACCACACTTCACTTATACTTTTAAGGTTTTGAGTAAACTGCTATGACAAGCAAATGCTAAGTATGATCCACATCGTACCTTGTCGTGTAACATATATCTTGACTTTATTTATTAGTTGGACGGTTATCATCAAAATAACGTTTTTATCTTTCAACCAAAGATTACAGTTAGGAACAGAACAGTGCAGAGCAACGAGGAGACTGGTCAACATATGGTTTATTCCATTTCCACTCATAATGGTCTTTCTTTTATCTTTGTTTTCCATAAAAGGCTTGGCAATTCAACCATGAAAATCAAAGTCTTCCATTACCCTTTTAGCTAAATTTCTTGTGTGTCCAAGTCATAAACCAGAAAAGCCTGTTTGGCCACTCTCTATTTCCCCACAAACCCAAAAAGAATAAAACTAGTAAATGAATTGGACATTTTTCCTATGCCTTCAGGCTTATGTTCAGTGGAAGATAAATTCAACATTGTACACTTCTAGTAACAATCGAAACAATCAGCTCCAAACGGGTCCAAGACGGCAGTATTCTACAAATTTCAATGACTAGCTAAGATAATTTCTAATTGTTAATCTGATAAAGTGGACAGAGTCTTGGGGTTTGGATAATTTGCATGGAATTTTGAGTTCGAAGATCATGGATTCTAAATTACATGACAGATATATCAAACATGGTTTGTGAGAGAGAGTTGACAGTTGCCACACCAGCTAAACTGAAAAATGCAGATACATAGCTAATTTTTCTTGTATAACTAAATTTTTGAAAGTTAAAATTATTGTGTTTCTCCTTAAAAAAATGAGTATGTTTCCTTTCAAGAGGAAAAGAAGAGTTAAGGCAAGGAAGACAAAAGAATAAGAAACTAAAGAGGCAAAAAAAAAAAAGGGTTAAAAAAACCCAATTAGATGAACAAGTTCAGTTCCCTTATGAAGTCTTACAGGCATAGATCACCAAGGAGAATTCAACCCTGTCTTTATCTTTCTGTGCATTCTTTTCTTCCAACCACAACCTGCTATCCATGCCACTCCTAGTCCTGAACATGAACACTGCATACGCAGAAGAAGAAGAGGAAGGGTTGAAGAACCAGTCATGAACATCCCAAAGCAAATCAACCAGCAACCCATCAACAAAAATGGTTTGGTTCCCCCTGAAATTCCACTGCAGCCTCTTCACACGAATCACAGTCTTCTTATCAATGCAGACGCATAAAACCGGTGACTTGAGCAACCCTTCACTCTCCTTCTCCACACTGCATCTGATCATAACATCGTGCCATGTACCAGTGTCGCAGAACTGAGCCTTGGTGGTGTAAAGGGTGTTCCCAGAACAATGCTCTCTACGTGACAAAAGAGAAGCCTTAGCCAAAGCCGTGTTCGTGTTTGTGTTGCTTCTAAAATTGAGCCTCTTGGAAAGAACTGTTTCTTCGGCGGTGTCACCGAGAACCAGACCGATTTCCGAGTCAATGATGATCACAACGTGAAAGCCTTGAACGGGTTCGGGACCAGATTCATACTTGGCGTTTGAAAGATCCCACAAGATTTCCACCTTGGATGAGTCAGAAGAAGAAGGTTCGAGAATTTTTGTGCCCTTTTTCTTCCTGAAGAAGCGTGAATTGGTGTTGAGTCTGAACGGTGGAGGGTCCTCGTCGTTGAAAGTTATGGTGAGTCCTTGGTTGGAGTGACTCCGACACCATGTAACTGTGACAAGAAATTGCTTGAGCGTGGAGAGGACTAGTTTGTAGACGCTGGAGACTGAGTTCTGGGTGGAAGGTGCAATGTTAGAGGGAGAGATGCAAGCGTTGTTTGAATATGAAGAACACGAGATTGATGAATGAGACACGTTCACTGCGTTATCGCTGAAGCATGAGACTAAGTCTCTCATTTTCAAGGCTTGGACAGGGAAAACACCAACCGATAACGATCTATTTTCTCTATTTTTATATATAGATGTTCTTGTCTTTATTTGATCGATGTGGGATATAGTTCTCATACAAAGATCTGAAGGATTTGGAGAAATTGTGAGGTCTGAGAAAATGGAGGTTATGGTTGCATTTTCATGTGTATTGGGTTTGTGAAAGGGGGAAACTGAAAGGAAGAAGACTTGGCATGGCATTTATCATGACAAAATGTTTCTCTCTCTTCTTAGAAAAATGTGCATCTGATGAGAGGGAAGAGAAACCTTGGCTTCGTGGTGTGTTTTTTTAATCAGAGTTGCCAGTTGATACTGCAATTTAAAAGAAAAGAAAAAGGGTGAGAGAAAAAGTTGTTCATGTATTTCAACACCAGTTTTGAGTTTTTTTTTTGGTCACTATTCATATCTTGGGTTTGATGATTATTGATAACTCCATTAAATAAAACCATGTTATGAACAATTTATTAGCCACATCAAGTGTGAGACGTCAAGTTGGGAAAAAACAAACGGACATAAATGAGAATGAATAAACATAATAAAAAACAGAGGAATCTCCTTTATTTCTCTTTCTCAACTGTTTTCGTTTTCTTTTTTTGTATTTTTTATTGTATTATATATTGTTTTTATGTTTTACTTTACTTTGAAATTTTAATAACTATCTTTTAATTAATTTCACTTATTGATATTTTTCTTAAATACTTAAATTGATTCACAGTTATGTTTTATCCCACTCCATTAATTTTATAAGAATCACATTTAATGTTAATTTTAGTAATTTTTTAAAAACCAATATTTAAAATTATTCTTTGCATTAATTATTTAATTAAGAGTCCTATTTTGAATTTAATACATTTATTTTGTATCAATAACATTTTGAAAACTATTAATGATGAAAGAGATTAAAAGATTAAATAGTAATATAAATATTTTAAAAATTAATAATATGTCTCATAAATGTCAGGATAGGATTAACTTTGAAAAATATATGAATTTAAGAAAAATTAATATATTTTTCAACAATAACGAGTAAATTAATTGATTGAGTCTTAGAAAAAAATAAAGAGGACAATTCACTATTTCTTTTTTATAAAAATATGTTAATTAAAATGTGTAATTATTCATTAATTTTGTTAATTATTATATGTTAAGTTTTAGTTGCAATGTTTTGTTAATCCCATTTATTAAGTATTTGTGGACGCTTCCTAATTCCAAAAAAATTGTTCTGTTGGAATTCTCAACGACTGGTCTCATTCACTTCCATTCAAACCTTTTATTTGTCTAAACACAAGTTTCACTGTCTCAACTTCATTTCATGTTTTTTTTTTTTTTAATGGAATTTTCTTTATATTTTACTATCTATTGTTGAAAGGACAGAAGTTAATAAAAGAATTGTTTTTTTAATAAAATTACAGAAAATATATTAATAATATTACATTAGTAACTTTTCTTATATTATATGAGCATTTTTAAGTTTACATAAAATTTAAAAATTGAAAATATGTACATATAAAAGCATTGGTATATTATCAATGATAATGTATATTTGATTTTATAAGAAAAGTAGTTTAAGGAATAAGAATTTTGAAAATAAACTATTCAGATTAAAACTCTTCATCTCTATATTTGTTAATTTAATATTATATGTCAAAATTCAATTTTTTTTTAAAATCAAATTTAAATTAGAATTGGATGAGAGTATAATAATCTTAAAACCCCTCTATTTAAAAATGCAGATATTTGAATTTAATACAGCATACTAACAATTAAAATTTTATTCAAATCAAACTAGAAATAAAACAAGGTGTTCTCAATATACACAGTCTTAGAGATATTGATCAAGGAATTAAACAATTTTTTTACTAAAAACATATGAAAAATTATGTAAAAAAAAAAAACTCAATAAAAATATTTTCTTTATAATTCTTTAAATCAGTAGTATTGGAACATTGGTTAATATTCATCATATTAAAAAACACTTTTTTAATTTGTTAAACGGAGGTTTGCGTAGGGGACCATTGAAGCAAAAGTTTGATGAGAAAAATATGTCGTTATTCTTTCTTTCTGCTGCCAAAAATACTATTTATCTCTTTCTTGCAGTAAACCAACAAGATGAATGGAGCAGTGGAGATGCCATGAATATGGATAGTGAATGTTGGTCCCACAAAATAAATTTGGGCTTTGAACTCACCCCAACGCAAACTAATCTTGTTTAAGAAGGCATGCATGAAGGAGTTGTAGACTAATAACTTTCTGAGTAATTAAATTCAGATTAAAGTATTTGATGTCAAATTAAAGGAGTGTGAAGTATTTTAATATCATGTGGTTGCAGTTGGGGAAGAAAAACATTTGAATGAACACACGCACATGAAGTATTAAAGCATAACTGATGATCCAGTTTCTATCCCCTCAAGCTACCCTTTTTGGGAAGTTTTCTCCAACATTATGATGAGTTTGTGAAGTAAGATGAGGGGTACAACTTCACACATCACACGAGAAGAACATTTCATAAAGGTGTTATGTGTGTTATGTTATGTTATGATTGAATCATTGTAAGTTTGAAGAGGTAAAAGAAGAGGAGTGGATGAGGAAGAATGAATAGGGGATGGTGGAATCTGTCACAAACAACATGAAACAGCGCATAAGGGGCATCATTACTTTCTCTAGTTGAGGTACAAGAGTGAGGGCATGTTGTTTAGGGCAATGGACCCCAGAAACCCTGGTCCTGCTGGGGGCATGTTCTGGCTTCCTCATTATGAATCCAACATTCAAACTTGCTTATGGTAAACGTAAGAATTCTTTATATGTAACTGCACCTACAAATCACACTGTAAACTTTATTGGTGTACATTAAGGGTATTCTTGAGTGGACAACTAGACCACTTTTTTTAGGTGGAGAATCACCCATTTTGAAGTTTAAAACCAGATAATGTGTCACTTTATATATTCGATTAGTTAATCTCAATTAGTTTTAAGTTGATGCATAATTATCTTAAATATGTCGTGAAATGCTATGTGTAAGGGTCTTAAACATTTATCAACTACAACTGCAACTATATGTGCAGTATTAAAGAGCACGAAGCTGAATTTAGGTTCATATATATATTCAAGAATTTAAGTAGTTATTTAAGTGGGGAAAGGAGAAGGTACAAAAAGGTGAATGAGAATGCATGCTTCTTGTGAGTTTCCTGGTTTATAAAGAAGGCATGTTAACTTTTCTTTTTCTTTTCATCTACATTTTGAACTTTTCCCAAACAAAGTGGAATAACCAGATTCCATACAAACCATATGTTTCTCTCAAAAAATTATTAGCTAGTTACAACTTGCATTGTGAATGCAATCCAAGAATGAAATAAGAGAGGCATTGTATTTCAGCTAGCTGAGAAAGCTACACACATGTATTCACTTAGAAACCTTGAAATTCCTTGAGCCTTTTTGTTTGGTTAGAACAAGTAGGACACATAGCTAACTTATTTATCTCATCTATTTAATTAGCCTTTACTTTTGAAAAGTTCATAGTAGCACATAGCTGGTAACTGTAATAGAGACTAGAGATCCATGGTAGGGACTGATGAATCAAATCCATGTGTTATGATTAACCAATTATAATCCATGTGCAGAGACACATATATACCTTTGTAAAACAATAATTAGTAATGTGACCCCATGTACTCTACTCTTTTCCTAGAGAAATTTCATTGTAGTGGCTTGGAAGACTAGTTGGATCCCATTGGTTTCTTCTTTCCCTTTTGATGCTAAAGATTAGTTAGATTAAGATTCCAAAGGGTGATGAATATGATTATAGATATAATTAAACTCAAGGTGAGGGTGACAATTCAAAAGGGTGCAGAATGGAATCCTACTGAAAAAGAAATTATTGTGCCTTGGCCTTATGTAATACTGAGAAATTCCCTTCAACCAAACATCTTTTTCCCTGGAAAAGTTGAATTTGAATTTCTTTTGACACATAATAATGCACACTTGGTACCAATAGATCTTAGACATTATCCAAAGTTGTTGATGAAACTTGAAGGAAGCTGTTACCTATCTGCGGGAATATTGGGAATTAATAAATCAATTGGGCCAGCTATAACCTTTTTCCCCACTTTTTATGTGGTTCCTTTCTAAAGGCAATTCAAACTTCAAAATCAAAACCGTGTTACACTTTTTTTTTCTTCCACAAGGAATATTGATATTATGCTGTAACTGAATGTATGCAGACAACAATTTGAAACTGATGAGAATGATCAAGCTAGAGAAACTCTCCCTGCTCTAGGCAACATGTTTTTCTGCATTATTGAACACATTCTGCAAAATCCCTGATAACCAAAGAGTCCAGAACAATTTGTATATGTGTTTGTGTGTTTAATTATTCAATCTTCTTTCAAAATATTATATTTATAGTCAATTCTTAACATTTTAATAAGTTCACAATTAAATGCCAGGGGAAAGTCTTACAAGTTAACAAGGTTTGGAATGGAAGTTTCATTTTTACTGATAAATATGTTATTCTTTTCAAATAAGCATGAAAATATTTTACTTTAAAAAATGTCAAAAGATATTAAATTTGAGTGGGTTTTAGACAAACAAAACACTGCATGTCTGTACTTAGAAAATAAGCTATGACTGATTTAGTGACCCTACTTCATTTCTGTTCATTCGATTAGTAACACTCAATATTCTCTTTTTCTTTCCCATACAATTTTTATGGAGTTATTACAATTGAGGTACAAGAATGTTGCATATTAACATAATTAATAGATTTGATGGGGTGTTAATGTAAACAATTTCACAAAAGTTTTAGCTATTGAAGTTATGTTTGTTGGAACAGATGTTGAAGTAGCTGTCTTGTAAAAACCATCCTGTTTCATGGATAGTACAATAATACACTGAACAGTTCAATATTGGGTATTCAATTGAGTCATAGATTATGAATGTCTTAAATCACATGGACTTTAGAGTACAAATGGTATTCAATGATATAGGTGAATGTTTAACTAAAACCACCGTTATAAATATTAAATGTGCATATCAAAACTTTTTAAATGTATCTGTAAATATGATGATGATGATGATGTTACACAAAAGAAAAGTTTTGTTCATCACTTTCTTCAGTTACACGTTTGTCTGAAGGATATTGCAAACATGCATTGGGTGATACTTTGATTTCTGAGAGAAACTTGAAGGAAAAAAGAAATCAATTGGGTGTGTGAATAAACAAATAAAGGGAATCAGAGTATTTTTGTAAATTAAATGGAACACATGTTTGTTTGGTTATGTTATTTCTTTATTTAGAATAACAGACAATTGACTTTATTCTTATTGTAATTATGTTATAGCAATTGGTTTTAATGAACATGACAAGAAACCAACCAGCAATTGAATTGAATGGCAATGTTTTTGGCCCTTTTCTTTCTTTTGTTGAAATATTTTAAGGAACATGTAGAAGAAAGAAAATTGTTCTATTATATAAAAATCATGTACAAAGTCAATGGACCAGGATTGTAGACTAAATTTTGTATTTATCTTTTTTCTTTTTTAGTTTAGATCTTCCTAGCCTGGATCCACTTGTAGCCCCCCTGAAATTTTTAATTATGTTATTTTTAATATTGTGGGTTAGATAATATAATGTTACCTTTTTATTTTTTTGAACAAATATTTTAAATTTAATTATACTTTTTACCATTCAATTATTATCATTTTGCAAATAGAATTATCTATATTTTTTTCACACCCTACCATCACAGTTTTTAATTTTTCGCAGATTTTATTGATCTATTAATTTTCTACAAATTGGTGAAAGTGTCATGAACAATTTAAAGTAAAATGATAATAAAAATGACATTTTTAAAAAATTGACATCATTCTCTACTAAAAAAATTCATGCAAATTAATTTTTTTTTATAAATTTGCTGAAAAAAATTGTTGCAAAATAATAATAATAATTACTATTATTATAATTTAGTGATATAAAACATGCCATTAACTCTATATTTTGTTATTCTCTTAAAATCTTTGTTTAGCTTTGAATGAATTGTTTTAAACACCTTGATTATAGTATAATGGCTCCCCTTAAAACATTGGTGGTTTTTGTCCATGTTCTTGAGTTTCATCAAAAGTTCTCTATGTTATGACTAGTAATTAGTGATCAAAACTAAAACTAACACTTCATCTACTGAAGCATGTGCAATTAGTCTTACGTCAATACCCACCAGGGATGAGTAAAAAACTGCAAACTGGCACCTAAAAGTAATCAATGAATCTTTGTTGCAAAGACAATTAAAAAAAAAAAAAACAAATCTTTTTTACATGGGACTTTGCGTTGCTTTTGGGAAGTTTGGTTAAGTTTCATTTTCTTATTAACAAAAGCTTTAATAAATTTGATGATGAGAGTGACACTTAAAATTCCTCTGTACCTTTTTTTTTTTCTCAATCTTCTTCTTTGAACATAAAAGGTAATCTATTTATCATATCTGACAGTGTCGGCAAAATCAACTACTAGTTCCGTTTGATGGGACGGATCAAATGATGCACTCAATCATTGAATTTGAATAATGTAAGTTTTAACCTGAAATCATATCAGAGAGTTTTGAAATTTGAGAAATTCTAGATCTCTCCCACTTAAAATTGACCAAGCAATGAAAATTTTCGTGACTGTTGAACAAAATTCCTTTGTTTTATTGAGGTGAGAAATTCAATCTTCTTAAATCTCACATTCACCATCTAATTGCAAAATTTGCTACAACAATTGTAGATTTTTTTATGCAGGAAGAGAAATAGACGAATAGCACATTAATACGCCTCAACTACATTATTTAAAACGACACCCAAGTGGCACTGTTTGTAACACTGTTCACCTTAACATGGGGACAATGGGTGATGGTTAAATGTCTCCTAACGTTATTATTATCACGTTTTAAAACATATATGTCGTTTTAGATTGTTTCATTTTATCTGTTATCTGATAAAGTTAAATATTCCTTCTTTTTTTTATTTTATGATGTTCTGTTAATGTTTTTATTGTTAGTTAATGTTAATAAGTAAAATTTTCGAAATAACACTAATTTGGAGTTGACAGCAAAACTAAACTACCAAAACACGTGTAGAGTAATACTCCCAGTTAATTATTTGCCTACAATTATGACCAGTATATCACTTCACAGTGGCTATGGTATTTGCAGATTTCAAAGCAATGTGCAAAGTTTTTATATTGTATCATAAGAGACACCCGCATTCTTAGTAGGGAAGTTTCACAAGGTGTGCATGCTGCATGTTGGTGGATCTGAAAGTATTCAATAAATTAATTAATATTACAGAAATATAGAACACGATTTCTTCAACTTGTTATCTGTAAAGAGAGGAGAATAAAATATTATACACATCACAACGTTTTTCCCATAACATAATCAATGCATCTTCAATTGCGTAATTCTTACGTGTCATAGCATTTTTTGTTGTATGTTTTGAGTTCTGTCAAAAATTTCTTCCACTGGCATTGTTTGCTAATAACGAGCACAGTTCTCTGATTTGTTTCTACACAGGAAAATAGCCAGCAATCACCAAATAGTCTACATTCTGAATTGCTATTTGAAAAGAAAAATACAGGACAAAATTGACAAAGTAATCTTGAAGTGAAATACATTGTTGTCCCATCCCTAGGTCACCCCCCTCTGACTAAGACATTATTAGATTTCATTTTTACTGTCATCATGCCTTAAAATTTCAACAATTAAGACCATGTTGAACCTCTGAAACTCTACCATTGAGTGTTGGGTGTCATTTCAATTCCATTTTAGAATCACAAGTTTACACTTAAAACTCTTCACCATCTTCTGTTGATCTTGTGATAGGTATGGACCATCTCCCCAAATGTGCAGTATAATTTATGCACCTGATGACACCTTTTCCCTTGGCTCCATCAGGGAAGTCAAGAACACTAACGCTCCCTGCATCAAGATGAAATGACCCCAACCATTCTTTGGTCAAATTAAGGCAGTGCCCCATTAGTGCTATGTGGATTGCAGGATGACCAACTGCAACTATAACTTCCTCTGGCTTAGATTCATCAGATATTTCATCCAACAGATATCGCCAGGCTGTTCCAGATTGATCCCATAATGTTGTTCTCAATCCATCATCAACTCTATTTAACCAACCAGGTTGAAATTGCGGAATATTGGATATATTCTGCAACAAATAAATGAAAATTAGACAGAACATACTGATAATGCACACAAACTGTTAACCAATCCTTGTTACTTAAGAAAACTATAAAAATGGATATTGAAATTAAAAGCAGCTATTATTAGTACCAAACAGTTGGGAAAACCTTTTGCTAGTTGTATTTCTTACTTAGCACATCGAGATGGTCACAATTTCGTACTACTTTTCAATATTGTCAAGTGATTATCATCAGCTTTTTATCTATATTTTCAATTTATATTTAGCAAACTTTTGCGGTCATTCCTTTGTCAAGATCATCCCAGTACAGAAAATACTTCATTAACTTAAGTATCGCTCTCAAAGAAAAAAACAATGTCAACAAATTATTGATCCACGTTTCCACATCCAAACATTACTTGCCATTTCAGATTGTTTGAAGATAGTTTCAACATCAAGGCTCGCCATCTGTTTCATCTCAACATATCGAGGCACACAGTCAGCACCCAAGCAATCTGCAGCTTCTTGTACCTAAATTCATATCTAACAATTTAATTAGATGAGAACAACAATGAGTACAGATAGAAAACCAAACCCCTCCTGTTGAGGCATACAATTCAACCGGGGTGCGTGTGTGTGTGTATAAAAACCAGAGTCTATAGAAGTAGATGCAAGTACTTGCAATTAATAGATTAAACTGGGAAATAGGAATTTGACATGATAGAACTAGGAATTTGGCATGATGGAACTAACTACAGATGTACCAAAAGTGAGCCTACCTGGGAGATGACAGTGGCTGTCCCAACACAAGCTTTGTTAGAACTACTAATTATGGAATTCACTTTCAAATCAAGTAGTAGCTCTGCAGACTTCTGTGACTGTTATACATGCAAAAGGTCAGATGATATAATTTTCGCCCACCTATTTCTGATGAGTGGATGCAATACCTGTATGACACCAAGCATGTTTAATGGTTGGTCACCACCAAAAGGAAAACCCTCCTGTTAACACAAGGTAGTTTGTTTAGAACCTGTATGTGAAGAAATGCATTTGGAATTATGAACCAAATCAACCAAATATCCCAAAAGCTTAAATTATTTGGTGAAAGCACAACTCTAAACCTCGTCGTTGCCTATAATATCATATATCATATCATGAACACATGAAAAATGAACCAACTATTCAAAAAGCTTAAGCGTTTGGGTGAAAGTATACAAACGGTTTTATATCTCACAATTTCCATTTCGATGCAAATTTTAGAGAAATAAGCATTTTGATACAATCTAGAAAAAATTAGAAATATGGCAAAGCATTTAAAGCACCTAAATCACATCAAAAGATATATGAGAAAACATTTCAGTCATGCAACATTCTTCTTAGTCTCGTCTATTATAGTAGACACCTTGTCGAGGAGAGTGTTAGGGAAAGTTCAGCTCGTCTGTCTCAATTCTTGATGTGCGACTTATATATATGTTGGACCAATTTGCTTATCGACAATTGGTATTAAGTTTAAATCTGACAAATTATCAAAGTATGCCCTAATGATGTTGTCGCTTAAAAATTGATTTTATAGGGTTGAATTAGACACCTAATCATTTCTAATAAAAAGACTACAAATTACATTCGATATTAGAATGAGTCATAAGAACACTTGATAAATAAATTAATATTTCAACTAACATTGCTTGGGTTCATAGGAATGCACTTCACTGCCAGTATTAGAAAAGAAATAGCTCACAAGGATAGCAGCAGCAAATCAGTTATAATTTCATAAGAGATAGATTAAATAAAGATTCAAGTTTTATCAAATACATTTTAGTCATTGCTTCATACCTCTGTATTTCCTTGCGTTGATCCATTACAAACAAGTATGATCCGCTTACTTGTCTCTCTACCACCAGATTTCCCACCAGCAATAGGCGAACCAGGGGTCTGCATTATAGTTCAATTCTGTTTGTAGAGCAGCTTAAACTGTTGAACACATTGTAATAGAAAAACCTTTTTTTTTTGTCCATGAAAAGGGGATAACATATTCAAATCAACTTTGAAGTTCTGGCCAGGGATTTAACCTCAGCTAGTCCATTTTGTGACATTGTACCAAGTAAATGGACCATATACCTGATTTAAGCGGTTAAGGCAAATACGTGGAGATCCACCCTCAGATCTTGGGATGAAATCTAGCACACTAACACCACAATTGCTCTGAAGTAATGTTCTGAAATACTCGGCCCCCAGACCTGATTAAACTGAGCATGTTATTCAAATTGACAAAATTTTGATATTTTGTTCTCATCATGAAAATTTCCTCATGAGGGAGAAACAGGTACCAATTGCTGTGGCAACAAGAGCCTGATTAACAGCATTGTGAGCAACCACAAGAACAGACCTGCTATCATGAGCTAAGATTTTAGTCCAGCAGCTTCTAGCACGTTCCCACAACTCTCTAACAGGATAATGACCATCAATGATGAAATTCACAGCATCCACCTGCCATTGACGAAAAGCAGAACCAAATTTTGCTTTTCCCTCATGCTTCAGCAGACCCTAAAGCAACACAATATCAGTCACACCAAGTCACAAGCTATACCTTAGTACAATACAAACACCATTTTAGTACTTAAATAGAAACAAGGTCTTTAAATAGAAACAAATTTGGTATCTTACAGATTAATTTTATGAATTGATCTCTCAAAAGTCAAGGTCTTTAAATACTTTCATCCTTCCATCCTTAAAGATTAATTTTACCAATTCCATCCCTAATTCTCAATATTTTAATATTCCTGCCAAAATAACAAAGGTAAGACGTGGAGTAGAAAGTTAATGGCTTGTTTTCTTTTTCCAGGCCTTAAACCCTCATTATCCGGAAGTCACTTTGAATCTTGACTAATCTAAGTTGAGCTTGGTGAACTCGCCTGAGGACATAAAGCTTTTCTAATGCTTATTTTTCTAATACATAGGATTCGAACCCAAAATTGTTCGTAAGGAAAACCAAGTTCTTTGTCACTCAAACCAACAAACATTGGTTAAGAGCTTGCTTGGTTTGGGAAAATATTTGCGATTCTCATTTCCTATTTTCTTTCACAATTACAAAAATGTATCCTTATTTTTGTGTTCATGTTTTCAAATACTGCATGAAAAATAGTGTCAATAAAGGTCTATTTCGTTTGACAAAAAGTTTTCTATTTCTATTTTTTACCAATAATAAGAAAAGAGAAGGAATCAAGCTATTCTAAGAGTAAATCTTAATTCTTATCATTCAATTTGTCTTAGTCTAACAATCAAAGATGGAAAAAAGAAAGAGTAACTTTCCTAAACTTACTTTAAAAATAACTTGTCTTTCTAAATCATGAAATTGTGAACTTATTTTTACTTTTTTTCCCTTATTTTCAAAGATTTGTAGACAAATAGGAAACTATTTCCTATACAAATCTTAGACATCAAGGAAACTTAACATTTTTATAACTATATGAGAAAAGCAACAAAAAAATTAAAACAAAATTTACTTAAATAGTTATTCTATTTTCCTCCAGCCCATTGGATTGACCTAGAGACTAAAATCATGACATCAACCCATCACATTTGAGTGCATTCTAATTATGTTTAATTAACAGTGAAAAAAAAAATATTAGCTTTTTATCGACAACTACTCAGAAATTGACATTTATATTAGCTTTTATAATAATGACTTCAAAAATTACAGTTAGCATGATTTATAATTGGTCAACACTGACCATAAAAGTTGTTGCAGAAGCATTAAGTAGAAATCAAACTAAAACAAAAAAAGAATGATAATCATGTTAAAGTTGAGAATAGCATACTTGAAAGGAGTACAAATCGATTTCCCTCAAATCAAAGTCCAGAATGATGGGTTCCTGACGAGGTCCCCAGATTATTTCAGCAGTTCTCTTGGATCGAGCCAAAGGACTACACGTTATTAGAACAACAAAGAGCAGAAAGAAGAAAATTCCACGTCACAAGAGTCATAATAGCTAGCAAATGCAATAAGCAATGGAAGGTGATGAAGAAGAAGAAACCTGGCAAAGCAGGCATCGAAGTGGTCGTCTATGAGCATTTGGCGTGAAGTCTCAGCCTGAGACTCCCCCTTCTTCGTCAGCACGGAGAAATTGGAGCTTCCTTGGATCCTCCCCTCCGCGTTCCACGTGCTCTGCCCGTGCCTCACCAGAACTACCCTCTTCGCCGCCCTGATAGGCGGGAATGCCAGCGAAGACTGCAGCGCCGAATCCAATTCGGCTCTCTCTTTCTTCTCCTGCACGCTGCTGATGGAGCATCTAACGACGACGTTTCTGCTGCGGTGCGATGTGGGAGTGGGGTGAAGATGATGAATACGCGCAGAAGAAGAACCACATGGTCTTACCACCAAAAACATCGTACCGTGAATGGGTTTGGGACTTGGGACTGTGTTTGTTCTAATTTTTTATATTTTTATTATATAATAATATGGTTGGTTCCCGTTGTTTCTATATCGCTCTGCGTGGAGGGAGATACCTACGGAAAGACACGTGGTCCAAGAACCAAACCTCTATCTTATAAATCTAATTAAACATGTAGTTTCTTCCTCTCAATTTTTATCTTCCTGTCATTATTACTTTTCTATTTACATAATATAAACAAGTTAATATTAGAAAAATAAATCATTAATATTTACACGTAAAAAGGTTCAACGTAATTACTTTATATATATAAAGACCAAATTAAATTCAAACAAACAACTTTGAGTTGTTTTTAATCATTGTTTCGCTTTAAAATCAGTTTAATCCAAGTTAATCATTCAAGAGAACTTTTACCTAAATATCACAACAAAATTTTATCCACTAAAAGGTTAAATATTAATCCGTCAACGATGAAAACTACATGTGGAGTTTAAGTATGCATTAACAGTGAATTAGCCCATGCATTTGACTGGAGATTAACAGGTTGAATAATATTGACAGATATATAATTATATAGTCAGAGGATACTTCATGTTGAGCAACTTTAATATTGTCCAAAAGCAATATCACCAACGCATTCTCAACGGCCAAAACTTTTGTTTCAAAATGGCATCAATCACATTTCTGATCAGCAATGAATCAACTTGTAATTTGGCCACTGAATCTACATACAAATCACAAAAACCAAAACGGGGAAAAAAAGTTCAGCAGAATTGAATCACTCTTCCATGGTATAATTGTTCTTTGATTGCTGTTGGGAAACGGCAACTTCCATCTTGGATAGAGTGACAGAAGGGTCCTTTGGAAGCACAGATAGACCTTCAAACAGGATGATACTCTGCTCCAACTCCTTAGCTGTCTCCATATGCAGTTCCAGCTTCTTGCCTTTCATCCTATGGGAGGTTTCATAAAATGTCAGATGAGAGCAAAATGAAACACCTTGTATTTATAAAGGTTTCAGATTTAAGGAAAGAAAAGGTGGAATCAAAAACCTATTCTTATGATGTCTCTCTTCCCTGCTGACTCTTTTACCAATCTTTGGAATGGCCTTAAGGACATTCTCAGCAAAATTCCTGTCATATCTCCCGGGCTTGTTTTTCTTTATCTTCAAATCAAGGGTTGAAACAACACATCTATCAGTAGTAAACAACACATCTATCAGACGGACAAAAAGGGAAACAATTTAAGTTTCATTTACCTGTGTCATAATATCCTTTGCATGCTCTCCCTTAGGTACTTTTATCCATTTTACTGTCCAAGGGTCATTCTTCCTTTTAAAGTTTTTGAAACATTTAAATCTACAAAACCGAAAAACCTGAAGAATAGATGTCAGAAACCTGAATTACAAGTGCCCATGTGAAATGGAGCTATGAACTAACTCTAACCTACTATTTGCCGTAGGAAACTTGAAAAATGCTAGAGCAGAAAAACATGATGAATGATAGACACTGTTTTTAAATATTATAATGCAAACCAAACTATATATACTTTAAAATATAAACACTATAGAAAAAAAAATTCATGATTAATAAAAAGTCAGACTTACGCACACAATCACTGACAATCTATGAACAGTAAGAACATAGTAATGAAGTCAAAGATCATGGTAAAATTAAAGAAAAAAAAAACATAAAAAGTTAGATAAGAAAGAACAGAAGACAACAGTTCATGGAATGGTCAAGGAAGAAAGGTATCAAATCCTATTCTGTTAAGCAGAAAATGCATTAGAAAATAAAGCAGAAATTGAAATTGTATAAAGAAAAACTAATCAGCATCGTTTTAGGAGTGAAAATGGATTTTTGAAGCTTATCTCAATAAATACACTATTTTTGCTGTATTGCACCCAATAGTCTCAACTAAAAAACATTAACAGCACAGTAATGACTCAGTTGCGGGTAAAAATGAAATAATGATCATACAAACGAATTCAATCGGTGATATAAACAATCAATTCCAGCAAAAAAACACAATCTTATTGAGTCCTGTTCTGCATGTATATCATAAAATATCAAAGTACACAGTAGAATGAAGATCAATAACCCTTCTCTAGTAGCATGAACACAAATAATTTCAAATTAATTCATTGAGTTACTTAACAAGTCATTGTCAATCTAATTTCAAATTAGTTGAATTAGTTTCCAACCCTAAGCACATAAATAAGATTTAAAAGGATAATGATGTAAAACATAAGCTTACCTTTGTACCATTACGAACCATCTGGATTCCACGTCCAGGAGACAATGTAGAAGAACAGAAGCAACATTTCTCCAATCTCATTGCACCTGAGAACTAAAACGACGACAACAACTCTTTTCAACCCAAACAAACGACAAAAAAAAAAAAAACATTAAACAAGTAAACACCTACAAGACATTCACCAGTGTATACAAACATTACATATTTACAATTATCTATCTACTTATAGGATGAAATTATCAATTATACTATTAAAAATATGAACGAAAGCAATGGACATAAGTTTTGTGATTACACTGGGTATCGAATAGCAAAGATAGCAAAGAAAACCCTCCAGAGACGATTTTGAAGAAAACACCTAACAATAGGGGTTATTACATCAATCTCTTACCTTACTTATATAGTCTTTATTTTCATTTTCATTCTTGGCAAATTCTGATTTTATACATGTTTTAGAAGCAATTTTGATATGCTATTATAATATTTCTATATAAAATTAAATTTGTGTATATAATTATTAGAAAATATTCTCTTATATGCAGGTTTAGAAACTATATTTGGTCTAGTTTTATTAGTTCACGATATAGAATATTATATAAAAAATAATTTCTAAAAATTATTATAAAATTCAAATTCTTTTGTTTGGTTAAAATTTTAATTTAAATTCATCAATACTTTTTTCTGTCTTTTATAATAGTTTAAAGGCCTATTTTATGAATAAAATGTGAAAATATATACTAATAAATAGCAAGATATAATTTATTTATCTCATTATTAGATATCTCAACAGTTGTTTAATATATAAATACTAATTAAGTAATTAGATTTTAAATTCAAGAGGATCCATTATTTTTTTATTATTTATATTTAGTATTTATTTAAAAACGTAAATATGCATTTAAATAAAAATCTTTTTGAATAATAATATTAAATATGATCATATAAAAATAATTTATAATTGTTTAATATATTTATTGTAAAATCTCTCCCCCATTAATATGATTGAGTTGCTTTCAATTAGCTTGGGATTTTTTTTCACGATCGTTATTAATATTATTAAAAAAAATCATTGATAAAGTATTTTAAAAATTTTAAATTTTTTATTTTTAAAATGAATAATTATAATATATTTAATTATTATTTTTTGGAATAGATATAGCAATTTCTATCTAATTACCTTAATGTATTTTGAAAAACATTTGTTTTTATATTATTTTGAGAAAATGCAATTAAAAAATTTTAATATATTTTAGATTTTAATTTTTTTAAAAATAAGAATTTTAAAAAGGCGTTTACATCTTAGTTTAAAAAATATATATATATATATATATATATATATATATATATATATATATAATAAATATTAGATGCAATTACCATTATTATTATTATTTTATGTATATTATAATGGGCTCAAAGACTTGACCCACTTAAAATTTAGGCCTAGTCTACTATTGTGAATTCTTATTCTCAATCTCAAATTTGTGAGATAAGTAAGATATTTTTTTAGAAAATAATAATAATAAAAATATTATCATAATTTTAAATATTTTTCTGGATTGATTTTTAAAAAATTAAAAATAATAATAAAATATTGAATTTTTTATGTACTATGTTTAAATAATAATAATAAGATAGTCCCTATTGTGCGTTTATGTGCTTATATATATCCGTAATTTTTATTATATTTTTAATATCATCATTTTTAAGAGAAATAACATATAATTATAAGAAGAGGGAAACAACTTCTTCTTTTTTTATTTTATTTTTTATTTTTTTTATTTAAAAAATATATATATATATATATATATATATATTTATATAATTAATATACATAATTAAGATAAATAATATATTAAGCAATGACAAAATATTTAAAATTTATAACATATAACTTATGTGACTTAAATAAAAAATATGAAAAAAAATTATTTTATATTTTAATATTTATTATTATTATTATTATGTATTTTACTAGACAAAGATTAAAAAAAATGAATTCACCAACAAACTGTGATTATGTAAATATATAATTTAGATGTAGTATATAAAATAGGTAGAAAAGCCTTATATATATCCCTTATGCTACATAGTGTCATGTTTATAATATAAATGTCAAAGTTTTCCTATTCGCGGTTAATATATCCATGACTGTGTTGAATAGTCTGAGAAAGGATCATAATTTTCTATAATATCCTTCTTTTGATATGATCATGGCTATCAACACATTACATGTTCTGTATTTTCTCAAACACAACACATAATGAATTAATATTTTTTAAGTTGGAACTTTCGTAGAGATGTAGGAAATAAATATCACTGATGAGACATTAGGTGGTAAATTCATAAAAAAGGTTAATATAATTTTTAATCTAAAATGAATATTAGTTTTAATCCAAAATTTTAATTTTTTTTTTATATTTCTCAATTTTCTTATTCTTTTAATATAAAATTTAGACTCATCCATGTTCAATACCTTTTAAGTGTGTAATGGATGGAACACGATATTTAAAAAAAACAAAATTGTATTATTATATTAATTTTGTTGTTACAGTGCTAGTTGCTTTCATCATCCAACAGCAACTAGTAGATGAAGAGTCTTTGCACCATTATGTTACAGCTGGCATTTTATATTCTTTTTTTCCTGTTTATCTCAATAATTATTATACTTGTTTAGAACTTGTGAAGTGTACCCCACCAATACTATGCCTTCATTTTCTCACTTCCTCTCACCACCTCATGTTTGTTAGAATTAATTTAATTAATTCATTCTATTATATAACTCATATGAAATATAATAATGGGCTCAAATGTAATTTAATAAAATATGAGGACCTATTGGTTATTATGTGAAGTTAGAATAAAATAAAATATTAACTTATGGTAACCAACTTTATGGACGTTGGTTAATTGAATGGAAAAAGGGTTTTGTCTCTGGTCATAAGGTTTTTCACGGAAAACCATCAAGAAAGCGTGAGAAGAGAAAGAAAGACAAAGAGATAGATTGGGAAAAGGAGATTGAAGAATGAAAAGATGAAAAAAGAATAGATTCTCATGGATCAAGGTTAGTGTTCTTTATATGATTCATGTATTGATGTATGTTATATTGTGAAAATCAATAATCTAAAGATCCTGTAGAGTAGTTTTCCATAATGAATTAAGAACGTAGGAAAACTACATAATATCTTACATGTGGTATCAGAGCACTGATTATTAGATTTATGATTTTCCTTGTATGAAAGTTTTCCCAAATATTAAGTTTTCCCAAATTAAGATAAACCCTAATTATGAATTTAGGGATTTCTTTATCAAATTAGTACAAACCCTAATTTATTCCCAAATTTATTTTTCTCAAAATTAAATAAAGGAATAAACCCTAATTATATTTTCAAGTTCAAATTGAAACCAATTTTATAGCCCCTATGCGTGAATGAACCCGTAATTGATTTTAATTGAAAAGACAAATGACGTGATAGGGTTAGGATGAATCATGTATGAAATTAGTTTCATGGGATGTTATAATTATGATGGAAGAATGATTAACTGTAAAGTTGATAAACTTTGCACGTAGAGAGCACGTGTTAAAGAGTTATTTTTATGTTAAAGTGAGTTGTATAATATACTCATACTGTAAAATGGGTACTGTAAAGCTTTGTTATGGGTACCTTACTGTAAAGCTTTGTTAAGGTTGTTAATATACTGTTTTGTTAATGTAATGTGAAGCTTTGTTAAGGTTGTTAATATACTGTTTTGTTAATGTAATGTGAAGCTTTACTGTAAAACTTTGTTAATGGACCTATAATGTAAACATTGATAAATAAATGAATTTTGTTTTGCAAACTGAATTGTATTGTTTCCGCTGTGTTTAAATTACTCATGAAAGTTTTGAATGGATGACAATTTCACTTTTACGTGAAATGCAAATAAAGGTCTTGGATTGAAAATCAATATTAGGATGAAAATTGAAATTATGAGTTTCAATTTTATTTATGGTACATAATATTTTATTATGTGAATAATGTACATATTTATTAAAATTAATAATAATAATAAAAAAAATGCTATGAATGGTTAATAGCAATTAAAGTGTTATTTATTTGAAATTAAGCATGATAAATTTTGTTAGTCACCAAAGTGGTCAAAATTTTAAGGTTATTTTGATTTCAAATTATTAGTGATTTTATTTCAATTACCCATAGTATGAACGCTAAAATTATGAATAATGATTTATGGGCTAATTGAAGTTCATTATTATAAAACATTTCAGGATCACCCAAAGGTTGATTAATTGTTATTATAATTAATGAACATGAAAGTAGATAATTTTCTGTGCGTCACTAGTTTTATTTATATACCCAAAGGTGTTAGGTGATTCTAGTTGATGCATATTTTAATTATCATTAATGTTATAAAAATATTAGCGTAATTATGTTTGTGTATTAGTGGATCTCCCAAAGGAGAACATTAGTATGCATAGAATGGTTATTTATGTTTGAATCTGTATTTATGTTTAGTTTTTATGACTCAAAGCGTTAATGTTAGACATGTGCTAATTGAAATATTTGTTTATATATTTCTATATTCGCTTACTTCGTCTGTTCCAGTCTTTAATAGATTTAATTCCCTGACTGGAGTGAGAAAGTCCAATTTCACTTAGGTGAGTTGGATTTTGATTTGGCTTTCCAAGTTGAAAAACCGGCTGCTATCACTAATGCTAGTAGCAACAAAGAGAAAACTCATTATAGAGTTTGGAAAAGGTCAAACAGACTTAGTCTTATATTTATGCGAATGAGTATTGCAAGCAATATTAAGTATGCTTTTTCCAAAACTAAAGACGTGAAAGAATTTATGAAATTTGTGGAAGAGCGCTCTCAAACTGCTGACAAATCTCTCGCTGGGACATTGATGAGTACGTTGACCACCATGAAGTTTGATGGTTCTCGTAATATGCATGAACACATAATCGAAATAACAAATATCGCAGCAAGACTCAAATCTTTTGGAATGACAGTGGAAGAAAATTTTCTTGTGCAGTTCATTTTGAACTCGTTACCGCCTGAGTATGGTCCGTTTCAGATGAATTATAACACCATGAAAGACAAATGGAATGTGCATGAATTGCACAGTATGTTAGTTCAGGAGGAGACTAGACTCAAGAACCTAAGAAGTCACTCTATTCATTACGTGAAAAATCAAGGAGTTAAAAAGAAAGTTGTTAAGAAACATGGAAAGGGTAAATGACCATTAAAGATTAACGAGTCATCTACTAATATTTAGAAGAAAAATAACAAATATCATTTCTGTGGGAAGTCTAGACATTTCCAAAAGGACTGCATAAAGCGTAAAGTTTGACTCAAAAAGAAAGGTGAGCATAGTGCTTACGTATGTTTTGAATCAAACTTAACTGAAGTTCCCCATAATACTTGGTGGATTAATTCTAGATGTACGACTCATGTTTCTAATGTAATGCAAGGATTCCTTTCAACCCGAACCATAAACCCAAATGAGAAGTTCGTCTTCATGGGAAATAAAGTCAAGGTTCCAGTGGAAGCTGTCGGGACTTATCGTTTAATCCTTGACACTGGATATCACTTAGACCTTATGGATACTTTTTATGTACCTAGTATCACTAGAAATTTAGTTTCTTTGTCTAAACTTGATGTTGCTGGATACTCTTTTAAGTTTGGGAATAGTTGTTTCAGTTTATTTAAGCGTACATGTATGATTGGAACTGGTACACTTTATGATGGTTTATATAAATTGAATTTGGATAATTTATATGCTGAAACTCTCATGACCTTGCATCATAATGTTGGCACTAAACGTAGTTTGGTGGATGAAAGATCTGCTTATTTGTGGCATAAGCGTTTGGGACATATTTCCAAAGAAAGAATGCAAAGATTAGTAAAGAATGAAATCCTTCCGGATTTAGATTTTACTGATCTGAATGTATGTGTGGATTGTATTAAAGGCAAACAAACAAAATACACAAAGAAAGGAGCCACAAGAAGCACTCAACTTCTTGAAATTATACACACTGATATATGTGGTCCATTTGACGTAAATTCTTTTAATAAAGAGAAGTATTTCATCACTTTCATTGACGATTTCTCGCGTTATGGATATGTCTATTTACTATATGAGAAATCTCAAGCAGTAAATGCCTTAGAAAGTTATATAAACGAAGTGGAGAGGCAATTAGACAGAAAGGTAAAAAATTGTCAGGTCAGATAGAGGTGGTGAGTATTATGGAAGATATGATGAAAGTGGACAACACCCTGGTCCGTTTGCTAAGTTCCTTGAGAAGCGTGGTATTTGTGCTCAATACACAATGCCAGGTACACCGCAACAAAATGGTGTATCTGAAAGGCGTAATCGAACCTTAATGGATATGGTTAGGAGTATGTTGAGTAATTTATGTTTACCTGTATCGTTGTGGATGTATGCTTTGAAGACTGCCATGTATCTGTTGAACAGGGTTCCTAGTAAAGCGGTTCAAAAGACTCCTTTTGAGTTATGGACAAGTAGGAAACCCAATTTAAGACACCTACATGTTTGGGGTTGTCAGGCAGAAGTAAGAATTTATAATCCGCAAGAAAAGAAACTGGATGCAAGAACAATCAGTGGATATTTCATTGGTTATCCAGAAAAATCAAAGGGGTATATGTTTTACTGTCCTACTCATAGTACAAGAATTGTTGAAACTGGAAATGCTCGGTTCATTGAAAATGGTGAAACCAGTGGGAGTGAAGTTTCACGAAATGTGGAGATTAAGGAAGTTAGAGTACAAGTTCCAATAACTAGTACATCTTCAAGAGTTGTTGTTCCAAATGTTGTAGAATCACACGACAATCAAGAAGAACAACAAAATAATGATCCTGCGATTAACAATGATCCAATAATAGAACAACCACAGGAAATAGTATTAAGAAGATCTCACAGAGAAAGAAAGTCTGCTATTTCGAATGATTACGTGGTTTATCTACAAGAGTCAGAAAATGACCTAAGTATTGATAATGACCCAGTTTCATTTTTAGATGCCATTAATGATGATAATTCTGATAAATGGTTAGATGCTATGAAAGATGAGCTTAAATCAATGACACATAATGGTGTATGGGATCTTGTGGAATTGCCAGAAGGATGTAAGAGTGTTGGGTGTAAATGGGTCTTTAAGACTAAGCGTGACTCTCATGGCAATATCGAACGTTACAAGGCCCGACTTGTTGCCAAAGGTTTTACTCAGAAAGACGGCATTGATTATAAGGAAACATTTTCACCTGTTTCTAAAAAAGATTCCTTTAGAATTATCATGGCATTAATAGCTCATTATGATCTTGAGTTGCATCAAATGGATGTTAAAACTGCTTTTCTGAATGGAGATTTAGAGGAGGATGTTTATATGAATCAACCAGTGGGGTTTATTGAAGAAGGAAAGGAACATATGGTGTGTAAACTTAAGAAATCAATATATGAACTTAAACAAGCTTCTCGACAATGGTATCTTAAGTTCAATGATACTATTTTGTCCTTTGGATTTAAGGAAAACACTGTTGATCGGTATATATATCTGAAGGTCAGTGGGAGCAAGTTTATATTTCTGATTCTGTATGTTGATGATATCTTGCTTGCGACTAATGATCTTGGTCTATTAAGTGAGACTAAGAAGTTTCTCTCTAACAACTTTGAAATGAAATATATGGGTGAGGCATACTAAGTGATAGGAATAGAAATATTCCGTGATAGATCACAAGGAATGTTAGGTTTGTCTCAGAAAGCATATATTAATAAAGTTTTAGAGAGATTCAGAATGGAAAATTGTTCTGCATCTCCCGTTCCAATACAGAAAGGAGACAAATTTAGTCTCATGCAATGTCCAAAGAATGACTTGGAACGGAAACAGATGGAAAATATCCCTTATGCATCTGTTGTTGGGAGTTTGATGTACGCTCAAACATGTACGAGGCCAGATATTAGCTTTGCAGTTGGTATGCTTGGTAGATACCAGAGTAATCCTGGATTGGATCATTGGAAGGCTACAAAGAAAGTTTTAAGATACTTACAAGGAACAAAGAATCACATGCTTACTTATAGGAAAGTTGATCACCTTAAAGTGATTGGATATACAGATTCAAATTTTGCTGGTTGTATGGATACACGAAAGTCCACATTTGGTTATGTATATCTTTTAACCGGAGGAGTGATTTAATGGAAAAGTGCGAAGCAGTCTATCATTGCTGCATCCACCATGGAAGCTGAAATTGTGGCATGCTTTGAGGCCACAGTTCAAGCTAATTGGTTGCGGAATTTTATTTCAGGACTTGGAGTAGTCGACAACATTGCCAAGCCGCTGAAAATTTATTGTGACAATTCTGCAGCAGTCTTCTTTTCTAAGAACGACAAGTATTCCAAAGGTGCTAAGCATATTGAATTGAAATACTTTGTCGTTAAAGAAGAAGTTCAGAAACGTATAGTGTCAATAGAACATACTAGCACTGATCTTATGATTGTTGATCCTTTAACAAAGGGATTATCGCCCAAATTATTTGCTGGCCATATAATGAATGTGGGCATTATGTTCACTAGTGAATGTTGAATGTTAATGTTATTATTAATGCTTATGTGACACTCTGAGATCTTTAATGTATAAGTTTCTGAATTTTGTATTTTCTTCTTTATTTATATGCATGCAAATTATGATGAAAAAAACAAATTATGTTATTATTATTAAAATGATATTATGTTTGAACCCATTATGGACTTCTCATTATAAAGTCATATTAAGGAGAAAGAGATAATATAGTGGTACATGGAAGGGAGCCTGTCGATTGAATGACATGTAACCGCCATGACTCTTGTTATAGCTGTATCTTTAATTATGAATGATGATAGAACCAATTTATGTAAGGTCTTTTAATGCGCATTATGACTTAAGTATTAAATCACAGAATCGTATGACATCACATGAGTCAAGTGGGAGAATGTTAGAATTAATTTAATTAATTCATTCCATTATGTGACTCATGTGAAATATAATAATGGGCCCAAATGTGATTTAATAAAATATGAGGACCTATTGATTATTATGTGAAGTTAGAATAAAATAAAATATTAACTTACGGTAACCAACTTGATGGACGTTGGTTAATTGAATGGAAAAAGGGTTTTGTCTCTGGTCATAAGGTTTTTCATGGAAAACCATCAAGAAAGCGTGAGAAGAGAAAGAAAGACAAAGAGATAGATTGGGAAAAGGAGATTGGAGAATGAAAAGATGAAAAAAGAATAGATTCTCATGGATCAAGGTTAGTGTTCTTTATATGATTCATGTATTGATGTATGTTATATTGTGAAAATCAATAATCTAAAGATCCTGTAGAGTAGTTTTCCATAATGAATTAAGAACGTAGGAAAACTACATAATGTCTTACAATCTTTTCATTAACCAAAACAATTATTATTTGATTTTCTAAACTGTGGGTCATATTTAATATTTTATAACATTTAAGCTTAATTAGTTGAATAGAATGTGAATAATATAAAAAAATTAATAATCAATAAAGTGATAAAAAATATAACCTTTAAGTAAGTATCCCATACTTTACTTTTTTTATTATTCTTATATAAGAAAAATATAATAAAAAGTATATTCATTTCAATTAAAATCAAAATATTTTTTTAATAAAAACTAAAAACATATTTAGTACGAAGGAATAAATTTCTAAAATGTGAAATTTACGATATCAAAGATCAACCGAAACTAACAACTAACATATCGATTAATATCAATATTAAAATTTAGGTTTGACTAATTTAATTCTAGTTATTAATTGCAAATAATTAGGAATTATAATTCTTAAAAATGATTTTTATTAGAAATTATAATTTCTACGAATGATTGATTTTTGTTGATAAAAATATATCATTAGGGATATTTATATAAATTTTCCAAAAAGAAAAAGAAAGTAACATGTTACTTTTTTTATTAAAAATTTTAACTCAATATTACATTAAAAGATTCAATAAAAGTAACATTATTTTTTTTTGTTTTTGAAACAAAAATATTTTCACTTATCTATAATAAAAAAAAGTTGTAAAAAATCTAACCAAAATTTAATTTCAAAAAATATTATTTTGTCATGCGAAATAAAAAAATTATCTTCTATGAGAAATTCCAAAACTAGTGTATTGAGAATGAAAATGAATACTTTATACACTTTGGAGATGCTTAGTTTAATTTTTGTATGAAAAAAAAGTGTTTTTTATAAAAAGTTTAAACCATAACCATGTAAAAGTTGAAATTATATTATTAATTTTTAATTTTTTTAATTATAATTAAACCGAAATCCCAATTGTAAAATGAAATTAAAATTTAAAACTAAAATGGGTAAATTGAATTTTAAGAACAGTAAAAACTTTTTACGGGGGACAAAAAAAAGTGAAAATTGAGATTTGTGTAGTTATTGCAAAATTTGAAAGTGTCATAAGATATGTGAATTTTTGTAGTTTGTACAGACATGTCTCGTGAAGTTTTAATCTTTACACCAAACTCCCAATTGCATTAAACTATGAAAATTGAATTTTATGCCACCTTAGTTTTGATATATAAAATTTTTACAGTATTAAAACTTTTTAAATTATTATTTTAAAATAATTATCATAAAAGATTTATAATTTTATTATATAATTTAATGAATAATCATCTGTTAGATATGTGTCTCTTTCAAAACATGTATTTTGGTTGTGTATCAAAACAATCGCTTTCCAAATGAATGCAACCAAGAAATTTTAGTAATCTTAATTTGAACCCTGCCACATTCTCCAGAGAGGACCTTAAAACAATTCACCAATAATTATGAGTACGTTGAAAGTACTATACGAATACCGTTTATAATGTAAAAAAATATATTATAAATATTTTATTTAAGTTTGTTTTAGTAAAAAAAAATGAATTATAAATGTAAAATATTCCGTCTTTACATTCCAAAAGAAAGATAATTCCTTAAATTTTAAGAAATATATTTATAGTTTTGATAATAATAAATAATGTTAGTTTTTATCTTATACGGAATTCTTGTTTTTAAAAATTGTTATAGATAATTTTTGATTGATTTATAAATATAAAGAGGTTAAATTATGCACAACAATTAAACTTTTTATTTGATGTGTAAAACCTGTTTTTAAAAGCTTATTTCACAATGTTGTTTTATTTCTCAAAAGATTTTGTTTTTATTGGTTTAAATGGACATTTTATATTTTTACAATCAGTTAAAGAAACCAGTGTCTTATAAATTCACTATTGATAGAAGATTTAAGTTAATTTTTTTTTGGGTTTAAATTTTACTGTATCTGTTGATTAGAAAAAACTTGTGTATTCAGTCAAAACAGATACTAAAAAGTTCAGAGAAATAAATAAATATCTGTTCTTAAATTCCAACGGCATTCTCCACTCTTGACTTCACCTTCACTACACTCGCCGGACTCTCCCACTCTTTCCTTTTCTCTTTACCATTTTCCACTCCTCAGTTCGTATTTTTTTTTTTTTTTTTTTTTTTCATTTTCGCCTTCACTTGGCTCACTTCAGTAGGGCGTAAAACCCTACCACCTTCGCTCCTTAACTGCAACTCCATGCCCTGTGCACATGCGCCAGATCTGCAACCATTAAGCAATGCACACCACTACTCATAGTTTATAGCTTATTCCAAACATGTCCAATTCCGATCATAACAACAGTAACCGCCTGGCTCAGTCACCGCCGGAGCCCAAGCCAGTGCCGCCTTCTTCCTGGGCCAAGAAAACAGGTTTCAGGCCAAAATTCTCCGGCGAGACCATTGCCACCGATTCAGGCCCGGAAACCACCCCTCTGCCCAATGTTGATCTAGAATCCGGTCGCGTTCAAACTCCGGCAACCGCTAACGGCGTCGCACATGGCGATAAGCCCCCCGTTCCGGTCCCACCGCCGCCTGCCGTCGCGAAAAATCGGAGAGATTCCGACGGCGTGTCGAAGAATTCGGTTCCCAGCGCCAACGGACAGGCGGCGGAACCGCCGCCGCCGAGGAGAACGGCGAGGTTCGTGCCGGTGGAGGACGACGGGTTTGTGTCGCGGCACTCGCATATGAAGTACGAGCTCCGAGATTCACCTGGTTTAGGTATTGAAATGTTTTTTAATTTCGATTTTAATAATTGAGTGGCTCGTTGATTTGATTCGATTATGAATGGAATTGAAGTATGATTTCAATTTTCATATGTTTGTTACTGTGTAGTTCCTATTGGCGTGTACGGTGTTCAGCACTACGTTTCGATATTAGGTTCGTTGGTTCTGATTCCGCTTGTGATTGTTCCTGCCATGGGAGGCACTCATGTGAGTTGTTTTCATCTGGCTTAGTTGGTGTTTTCATGTTGTGTATTTGTTGTGTGGTGTTTGGTTTTGGTGGCGAAGTTGTTGATGTGTTAGTGAGTGTAGGAGGAAACTTCTATGGTGGTATCGACAGTGCTCTTTGTCTCGGGGGTGACTACTCTGTTGCATATTGCTTTTGGCTCCAGGTTACCCTTGATTCAGGGCCCTTCTTTTGTTTATCTGGCGCCGGCCCTCGCGATAATCAATTCCCCGGAGTTTCAAGGATTGAATGGAAATGTTTGTGACTCTTTCCTTTGCTTTATGTATCAGAAGCTAGGAATTGGATTCCCTGCAGTTATGAATTGCGACTGTTGATGCTGGGTCAAGATCGGATGATTCACATTTTTACTTACAAGATAAAATACGTGTTGTCTGATTTTCGTTCAACAAACTACAGGGAATCTGACTCCAAGAAGATATTGATTGTTGTCTGGATGTTGGTTTTTGTAATTTTGTTTAGTTATTCATAAGTTGGGAGTTATGTCGTATTTAAAATTTTGGAATGATTAGAAAAAACAGATGATGGGATTTATTTCTCAATTTGCAGAAATTCAAGCATATAATGAAGGAGCTCCAGGGGGCTATAATCATTGGTTCAGCCTTTCAAGCTTTACTTGGATATACTGGACTTATGTCGCTGTTAGTAAGGTATGATATTGGGATTTTCTCTACTTGATTAGTTTTGTTGTTAGGTTTTACCTATACAGGCTTCAACTTTTCACCAAACTGAATTTATTATTGTGGATTGATGCAAGTGATATGCTAAAGGCTGAAAAATTCATGTTAAAGAATCATAGAGGTAGCAGTGGGACCTAGACTAAAGTTCTGGAGGGGCAAAAATATTAACATATGAGATTTCATTTCTTAGTATATTTTATTATATTTAGGGGTGACAAATCAATCCAGTATTCATCCAATTCATTCAATACAATTTACAAAGTAAGAATATAAATTGATGGGGATCCAATCTATCTATTTAATTTTTTGGATGACTAATGATTCATCCATTATTTTTCAAAATCTAATGGATCCTATAATCAATTCTTACTGAATCAAAATAAATGTTACCTATTTTCTTATTTTTTCTAAATATTCAAAAAATAGTTTTGAAAACTATTTTACAAAATATATATTAAAAAAATGACTAATTTCAATTACATTAATTGTTAACTTCTTTTTATACTCTTAATTTATTGTGAATTATATCAATGAGACATCCACTAATTTTTTTATGAAAGTAGATGCATTTATCGGTCATGAACAACATAAGTTGTTTTGAAAAATTATTCGTTGAATTATGAGTAGTTAAATATAATAATCACCACTTAAGAATTTTTGAAAACTGACATCATATTAAGAAATTTTCATTGACCCACTATAAATCAATCTTTGGTCGTTTTTACCAGTTTTTTTATTCTTTTTAGACAAGTCACCAGACTGGTATTCCAGTCAAATACACACATGTGTGTGTGTGTATATATATATATATATATATATATATATATATGCGTGTGTGTGTGTATTTATATGTAAAATTTGCGTTAGCATATCCTGACCCTGTTATCCCTTACTTTTTTTAGAAAAATTCTGTATACTGACACAATCATCACACTGGCATACTTACATTAACCAAAATGAGCTAGATAAGCAATGTACTTGTAGAATAGTTTATAAGTACTTTTAAAAGGATGGAAATGGTAGGTTTTTCTTTTTAGTCAATTAAGGTTATTATCTAATTTTATATTTAGTTGGTTTATAGTATTGATGCTGTCAGTTCTCATAATTAAGACACTGAGATAATTCTTCCATGAAAAAGTGATGTTTTTCAAAACTTTACATATGCCTTGTTTGAATATGATTCCTCCCCCCAATCCCACTCATATGCATCCCCCTTGTTTTATGCAATATGAATGTCTTTGCCTTCTGTCATAGTTTAAAATTTAAATCACTTCACTGCCTGAGTTGACGGAAATAAAAACATTAGATTTAGTCCTAGTTTCTGTTCAGTGTAGCTGATAATGAGCCCCATTTTATGTGTTTCCTTACAGGTTGATCAATCCTGTAGTTGTAGCCCCAACTATTGCTGCAGTTGGACTTTCATTCTACAGTTATGGTTTCCCATTAGTTGGTACATGTATTGAGATTGGTGCAGTTCAAATATTAGTGGTTATTGTTTTTTCTCTTGTAAGTTTCTTCAATTGACCTTGAGTGTTTATTTCTTTTAATATGGATTCATCTATTCACTCTTTATTTAAAAAATCTTGGAGTGTATATGGTATTGCTTGCTGTACTGGACTAGAATTTGTAATCTGTTATTTCATTATTTCCACAGTATCTTCGAAAGATATCTGTTGTTGGGCATCGCATATTTCTAATATATGCAGTAAGTTTACAATTTCTTACGTTACTCTTCAGTAGTTGAAATAAAATTTTGTGCTGTAGCAAATGATTTCTGTTTTGCCTAATTGCCAGGTTCCTCTGGGTCTGGCAATTACATGGGCGTTTGCTTTCTTGCTGACTGAAACTGGAGCTTACAGCTACAAAGGATGTGATATAAATATACCTGCCTCAGATATGGTTTCAGAGCACTGCAGAAAGCATTTTTCAAGGATGAGGCATTGTCGGGTTGATACATCCCAAGCATTGTTATCCTCTCCATGGTTTAGGTTTCCTTATCCATTACAATGGGGTACTCCTGTCTTCCATTGGAAAATGGCTGTTGTTATGTGTGTGGTTTCCTTAATCTCATCCGTGGATTCAGTGAGTTTCTTGTCTTTCTCTTTTTTGGTTCCTGGGCTGTATTGTATCTTACTCTGAATATGTTGATCATTTGACTTAAATATTTTAGAAAAAAAACTAATTATCTACTGGGCCCTTACGCCATCCTCATAACCATTTCTAGTAATATTGTATTTAAAAGTTGTTTTTTATCTTTGATGTGGTACAGGCTTTATGGGAACTTAAGATTTGGATCTAGTACCAGCTACATAACAGTTAAGAGAGTAAAGAGAGTGAAAAGAAGATTTCTAATTTTGTGGGATGCATTGCTCCACTCTATGATCTCATATATATATATAGGATTACAACATTTAAAACAACAACCACCAACTACTAACAACCACCAACTACTAACTACTAACCACTAACCACTAACTAATAATAATTCTAACACTCCCCCTCAAGTTGGAGCATACAAATTGTATGTGTCAAGCTTGGAACAAATAAATTCAATTCGAGGTCCTCTTAAAGACTTTGTCAACACATCTGCAAGTTGATCATTGGACTTGGCAAATTCAGTGCAAATTTCTTTAGACAACAATTTTTCACGAATAAAATGACAATCAAGTTATATATGTTTGGTCCTTTCATGGAACACCGGATTAGAGGCAATGTGGAGAACTGCTTGATTGTCACAATACATCTTCATCTGTTGGATCTCACAAAATTTCAGTTCTTGAAGGAATTGTTTCACCCACACTAGTTCACAAGTGAGAGATGTCATTGCTCTATATTCAGCTTCAGCACTAGACTGAGCTACTACATTTTGTTTCTTACTTTTCCAAGAAATAATATTGCCTCCAATGAGAACACAATATCCTGTAGTGGAGCGTCTGTCCATAGGGGATCCAGCCCAATCAGCATCACAATACCCAGATATTTGGGTACCCCCTTTATCTTCATACAACAGACCTTGTCCTGGAGCTTTTTTGAGATATTTTAGGATGTGAACGACAACATTCCAATTATCAGTACGTGGATTTTGCATAAATTGACTCATAACTGCAACGACAAAAGATAGGTCAGGTCTGGTAATGGTGAGATAAATGAGTTTCCCAACAAGTCTTCTATATCTCTCAGGATCAGAGAGCGATTCACCTTGATCCGCCATTAATTTCTTATTTGGATCCATAGGGCTATTTACTGGTCTACAATCAATTATGTCTGTTTCTTTCAGGATATCTAAAGCATACTTTCTTTGGGAGACTACAATGCCTTCTTTTGATTGAGCCACTTCAATCCATAGAAAGTATTTGAGACAACCAAGATCTTTAGTTTGGAAGTGATTGCATAAATGTTTCTTTAGCAAAGAAATTTTATCAACATCATCCCCTATAATGACTATATTATCTACATATACAATTAAATAAACACATTTTCCTAAAGCAATATAATAAAAAACAGAATGATATGTTTCACTTCGTTTTAATCCAAAACTTTGAACAATGTGACTAAACTTTCCAAACTAAGCACGTGGAGATTGTTTAAGACCATAGAGAGAACGATGTAACTTACAAACCAAATTCCTGAACAACAAAATATAATGACTATATTATCTACATATACAATTAAATAAACACATTTTCCTAAAGCAATATAATAAAAAACAGAATGATATGTTTCACTTCGTTTTAATCCAAAACTTTGAACAATGTGACTAAACTTTCCAAACTAAGCACGTGGAGATTGTTTAAGACCATAGAGAGAACGATGTAACTTACAAACCAAATTCCTGAACAACAAAATCAGGAGGTTGCTCCATATAGATTTCCTTCTCAAGATCATCATGCAAGAACGCATTCTTGATATCTAATTGATGAAGAGGCCAATGACGGATAGCTGCCATAACACAGAAAAGTCGAACAGTAGTCATTTTGGCCACAGGAGAAAAAATATCACTGTAGTCAAGGCCATAGATCTGAGTATAACCTTTTGCTACTAATCTAGCTTTGAGTCGATCAACTTCACCTTTTGGTCCAACTTTAATAGCATAGACCCAACGACAACCGACAGTCTTCTTCCCATGTGGAAGAGGAATTAAGTTCCATGTACCATTGTGCTCAAGAGCCTGCATTTCATCAATCATGGTTTGTCGCCATCCAGGATGATCAAGTGCCTCTTTCACATTTTTTGGAATAGTAATAGTGGATACAGAAGAAACAAAAAAAAAAGAAGGAGACAATCTATGGTAGCTAAGAAAATTGTAAATGAGATGTGTATTACGAGTAGAGCGAGTACCTTTGCGAATGACAATGGGCCAACTTGAGTCATCATTATCAGGAATCGTGGTATCAGGGGATGATTGAGAAGGATCTGCTGAGGAAGACTCATCTTGGGACATGGGACTGATCATTTGGCTCTTGTGTTGATAGGTAATAAGAGGCAGTGATGATGATTCTGGTGTATTTTGTGTGGAATTTTGGGTGTCAGGAGGAGGAGGTACAAATGGCTCTACTAAGGGCATAGGTAGGACATTTTGGACCGAACTAATATCCTGCATAGAAGAAGGGAAGAAGGGAGTTGACTCAAAAAAAGTGACATTAGTAGACATGTAGTACCTCTTGGTTTCAGGAGAATAACATCGATATCCTTTTTGAAGACGAGAATATCCTAAGAAGACATATTTGATGGCTCTAGCTGATAGTTTATCTAAACATGGGAACATATCATGAACAAAACATACGCAACCAAATACACGAGGAGAAACATGAAAGAGTGGGTCCTTTGGCAATAGAATAGAGTGTGGAACTTTATTGTAAAGAGAAGAAGATGACATTCTGTTAATGAGAAAACATGCTGTAAGAATAGCATCTCCCCAATGATGAACGGGCATATTTCCACCAAGTAATAAGGTACGAGCAGTTTCAACCAAATGTCTATTTTTTCGTTCTGCTATACCATTTTGTTGTGGTGTGTGAGGACAAGTAGACTGGTGTAAAATGCCTTGGAAGCTTAAGATAGTGGAGAAATTAGTAGAAAAGTATTCTTTGGCATTATCACTTCGTAAAATTTTGATTACTTTTCCAAATTGATTTTTGATTTCGTTAAGAAAAGACTTAAAGATAGGTAATAATTCAGAACGGTCTTTCATTAGATAAATCCAAGTACACCTAGAAAACTCATCAATGAAGGTAACAAAATATCTATAGTCAAAGGATGAGACACGATTAGGACCCCAAATATCAGAATGAACAAGAGAAAAGACAGAGTCACATTTAGATTCAGAACGTTTAGGAAAAGAGGACCTAGTATGTTTCCCTAGTTGACATGATTCACATTCAAAATCTTGATGAGTCTGAAGTATGTTTCGTAAAATTTTGATTACTTTTCCAAATTGATTTTTGATTTCGTTAAGGAAAGACTTAAAGATAGGTAATAATTCAGAACGGTCTTTCATTAGATAAATCCAAGTACACCTAGAAAACTCATCAATGAAGGTAATAAAATATCTATAGCCAAAGGATGAGACACGACTAGGACCCCAAATATCAGAATGAACAAGAGAAAAGATAGAGTCACATCTAGATTCAGAACGTTTAGGAAAAGAGGACCTAGTATGTTTCCCTAGTTAACATGATTCACATTCAAAATCTTGAAGAGTCTGAAGTTCAGGAACCATTTTTTTTAATCTTGATAAGTGAGGGTGCCCTAAACGTTCGTGTAATAGTTTTGGAGACAAGGATGCAACACAAGATATAGATGATTTAGTCCCAAGGTAGTATAAGCCTCCAGATTCATGTCCTTCGCCAATCTGTCAACCCGTATCATGTTCATGTATAACAAAAGAGTTGGCATTAAAGGTTACTGAACAATTCAATAATTTGGTTAATTGACTTAGGGAAATGAGACTGAAGGGACATGAAGGAACAAAAAGAACAGATTTTAAGTTTAAAGACGGAGAAATGGAGACTTGACCAGTTCCTTTAGATGCTACTTTAGATCCGTTGGCTAAGGTTATGAGATGAGGAGTTTTAGGAAATGAGAGAGAAGAGAACAAAGAGGCATTACCAGACATGTGATCATAAGCACCTGAGTCAATAATCCATGGATTTTGACTTTCCACAAATTGTGAAATGCAAGCTGTTGATGAATTTGAGGTTGTTGATGACTGTGCTAGATTACTGGATTTCAACCTCAAATATTCCTGATATTCTTCATGAGAGAACTTGGGTTCAACCATTTTAGATTTGGAAAAATTGACAGTTTTATCAGGAAAACCGTGCAAAGAGTAGCAATTTTCCACTGTATGACCCATTCTCTTGCAATGAGTGCATTGAGGACGTCCTCTACCTCCACGTCCTCCTCTAGTGCTGCGACTTCCTCTTCAAAGGGTAGAAATCATAGCAGAAGATTTAACAAGTTCTTGATTATTTTTTCCTTTGAGAGTTGGAACACGAAGCAGTCTTGTAGTCGAACTTTCCATAGAAGGAACTTCTTGTCCAGTTAAAATTTGATCTCTAACATGATCAAATTCTGAATTCATAGCACGGAGAGTCATAACCATATAGAATTTATCCAACTTTTGCTTTATCTCCTCTAACAAATCCACCTCTAGGAACATCTTTAATTCTTTAACTGCTGATTGAGCTTTAATAATAAAGGTCATTATATCTTTATCCACTTGCTTAAGAGAGGCTAATCGATTAGCGGAATTATAGAGGTGTTAGATATCATTTGCGAAGATATTCTGAGCTTTTTTTCAGAAAGAGTTACATGTTTTGAAGGATATGAGATTGTTCAAAATATTTGGTTCTACTGATTGCCACAGTAGAGCACAGAGTTGATAATCAAGCTTTTTCCATTGTTGAGTTTGATCATCTGGTATCTTACTTCCGTCTTCTTCTAGATGATCGTAAAACCTTTGTCCAAGGAACCAAAGTTCCACTGAAGAGGACCAAGGCATGTAATTTTTTCCATTTAATTTCTCAGCCGTTATCGTAGGAGTTCCGAAAAAGGAGGTTGTGGGCCCTGACGACATGTTTTAAATAATGTAAGATGGAGACGATGGAACCTGTAAGAAAGAGAACACCCAAGATAGCCGGAAGGTTACTAGAAGGTGGTCGGAAAGTCTTCGGACGGCAGCAGAAAAAGGTGACTGGACAGGGGACTGAAAGTGGCCGGACGGTGACCGGAAAATGGTCGGACGGTGACCGGAAAATGGTCGGACGGTGACCGGAAAATGGCCGAACGGTGACCGGAAATGGTCGGACGGTGGCCGGACAGGCAGAGCAGGACCAACCTGCTCTGATACCAAGTTAAGAGAGTAAAGAGAGTGAAAAGAAGATTTCTAATTTTGTGGGATGCATTGCTCCACTCTATGATCTCATACATATATAAGATTACAACATTTAAAACAACAACCACCAACTACTAACAACTAACCACTAACTAATAATAATTCTAACAATAACTATGTTCTTGTTATATTGTATTTACAAAACCGTTTTTTCTTGGATGAGATACAGGCTTGATGAGAAATTATGTTTGCACTATGATATATGTTCAATAAAAATGATGCCTTGGAGGATTACAACATTTAAAACATTTAAAAATGTTTGCACTCTATGATCTCATATATATATAGGATTACAACATTTAAAACAACAACCACCAACTACTAACAACCACCAACTACTAACCACTAACCACTAACTAATAATAATTCTAACAATAACTATGTTCTTGTTATATTGTATTTACAAAACCGTTTTTTCTTGGATGAGATACAGGCTTGATGAGAAATTATGTTTGCACTATGATATATGTTCAATAAAAATGATGCCTTGGAGGGTAAAATATGAACTTGCATATGCTCTTCACTTAAGACTAAGTTAATTTTTTTAGAATTCTTTTTCAAAGTGAAGGTGGAAAACTTTTGCTATTCGACTCATACATTATCAGATTCAAACTTAAAGTTTTGGTTGTCAACTTGCCATGATTTTACACTGTCAATGTCTTTTCCTTTGGCCGTTATTTTTTCACGTTAAGTAGATACCAACTGTAGGGGTGTGCAATACTGTATTGGTTCTATCTCAAGACTTAGGAAATGACTAGATCAATGACAATATCCATTTAATTAAGTTTTAAGAACTTTGTTGCTGCAAACAAGCTTGTGATTATCAAATATAAATATGCATTGATCTCGTTCAGAACAAATGTATAATATCTCAATAAAAATGATATGTTTCTTGTATTTTCTCTATATGCAGGATTATAACAAATCACTGTACCATGTCATTTATATTCATTTACTATAATCTTTGTAGGTTGGCTCATACCATGCATCTTCATTATTGGTAGCATCCAGACCACCGACTCCAGGAGTTCTTAGTCGAGGAATTGGTTTGGAGGGTCTTTCCAGTGTCTTGGCTGGTCTCTGGGGAACTGGAACTGGATCTGTAACTTTAACTGAAAATGTTCACACAATTGCTGTTACTAAAATGGGAAGCCGCAGAGCAGTTCAACTGGGTGCATGCTTTCTGATAGTGTTGTCTCTTGTGGGTAAGTTTCTGTAATTTTTCTGTGCTTGGATCTAATCTAACCTTCTTCAGAAGTACACTTATTATGAGCAATGAGTTACTTGATTGAAAAGCCAATTTGGGTTATGTATCCAGTATCCTTGATTTTTCTCGCAAGGGACTCAGGTAGTTTGTGATATTATTTATCATTCAATTTCTTTGGTTTCCCAGTGATTCTCAAATTTAAATTTTCTGGTTTGCAGCAATTTGGATAATTATTTTGTGTATAACACATGATGTTTGGAAGCATCATTTCTGGAAATCAGGCTTTCTGGAGAATTAGAGGCTTTAGAATAACAAATTTTACATTAATTTAGTTCAGTATAATGTCCACACTGAATTCTTAATCTAATCCTATGTGAATTCTTGTCTAAACAAATGGCTACTGCTATTTGCACTTGATCAATGATTTCTGAGCAAGTGAATAAAGGAGTATGGCTTTTGGCAATTTGAGGAGTGTTAGAAAAATAGGCCAGCAAGAGGGGGGTAATTGAACTCCTTTGGGGGTTCTTAAAAAATTTCAAAGAATTATTTCCTTTGAATCAAATGGTTTCAAAATGGTCAACAAGGATCTTTTCTTTTCAAAGATGGTAAGGTACGAGGTTTTGAAATTAATGCACACTTTCAGCTATTAAAAATCTTTTCAGATTTTTATGAAAACATACAATATGCACCAAACTTATGAGTTCAAGAGATAAAGAGAATTAATTTGCCAAGATTTTGATACTGGTTCACTCTTAACCCTAGAGAGCTACATCCAGTCTCCCAATAAATTGATTAGGATTCCACTAAATTTTCTAATGTTTACAAACACACTTCATGTGCAAACTTAGAAAATCTAACCAAACTAGTTTCTTGATCCCTACAAGAACATTTTCAAACCTACATATGAAACTCCTAGCATAAGCTATACGCTTCAGCACAACCCCTATTTTAAAGATTTATAAACTCACTATGCAAAAGAAGTTTAGAACACCATTTGAGTTGTAATCTTGTTAGAAAAGTAAATCACTAATCTTGATTAGGGATGTTAAACTTCTTTGATCATAATCCACAAAAAATTCATAATAATCTTTTGAGAAGATGTAGGACCGCAGTATAAGAACTTTATTTCTCTCTCAAAAATCTATTAGATATTTTATGAAAATTATTTGACATGGAGAAAAGAGAGTTTTCAAACCTTTATAGTTATTTGTCTGTCAAATTTAATGTTATAGTTTTTTGAGTTTTGAAAGAACAAAGACTCACATGTTTATGGATTAAATTAATTTTAATTGTTCCTATATTCAATTAAATTGATTTAAGTTATTAAACCGGACAGCCTCCACATTTTATTCTGTTAAATCCAAAAAAAAACCTTTTACTTGACTTTGACATCATCAAATGTAATACTTGGAATAAAATAATGAAGCATTAAAAAGAATCGCACAATAACTACAACATTTTCGTTAATGAATGAGATTACATGACATTCTTAAAACAAACTCACATTACATTGTGACCAAGGAAACATTAGATCAATACATAGAAGACACTCAAAGCAAGAAAAATTTATTAGTTCTTGCTAATTGAAGCCAAGTAATTTGCTCCTTTATTAGTTTCCTTGAACCTTTAACAAGTTAGTGCATTCTTGAGAGTAATAGTTGCTCAAAAGAAGAATATTTACATTGCTCCTCCCCCAACACTATTTTGCTAAAGGTCAAAGGAAATCTTTCAATGAAAATGTTTTGTGTGATTTTTTTATTCACTTCAGTTGTTTCCTTCAACATATAATTATATTTGATGATGGCAAAAGGAGAAAAATGATTTTATTGTTTTACCCACTCTCAAGACTTGATTAACACAAAGTATACCATGATAAAGGAAAGGTTATCATCAAATATGGAGAGTTTGTTGGCACGTGATGAAGATTCCAACCTTGTATTTGATTGTGTTAGATAATAGGGTTGATCTTTGTTTAGTTTATTTTTCAGTTTTAAAATATATTACGATTTTTAAATGTCTTTTAGACATTTATGGTTTAATCCATTACCATTGTTCTGCCAAGAACAATTAAATTGGATTTAACATAATAAAATTTGGGGGTTGTATGGTTTAATTGGTTAAATCAAATTAAAATTATTTTGGTGTGTTGAAAGTCCCACATCGCCTACCTCATGTCATTTGGTATGGTTTAAATACATGTTAGGCTACTCCACATATTGCCAATTGGTTTTATGTTGGAACCTTAACATGGTATCAGAGCCAAAGCCTAACATCTTTCCGGTTATTGTCATGAGCCAAAAGTTGTCCTTTCGTTGGGTCAAAAAGTACCATTTGTCTGGTCCGGCAAACTTCGTTGGAGGGGACGTGTTGGAAGTCTCACATCGCCTACCTCATGTCATTTGGTATGGTTTAAATACATGTTAGGCTACTCTACATATTGCCAATTGGTTTTATGTTGGAGCCTTAACTTGGTATCAGAGTCAAAGCCTAACATCTTTCCGGTTATTGTCATGGGTCAAAAGTTGTCCTTTAGTTGGGTCAAAAGTATCCTTTGCCTGGTCCGGCAGGCTTCATTGGAGGAGGCGTGTTGAAAATCCCACATCGCCTACCTCATGTCATTTTGTATGGTTTAAATACATGTTAGGCTACTCTACATATTGTCAATTGATTTTATGTTGGAACCTTAACATGGTATATTGAAATTCCTGAGTTTTTGAACAAAAGCTCACACAGGTCATTATAACATATCAAAACATTTTAATAGATTAAATATGACAGCAGCTACAAAGGTTTGAAAACATTTTTTCTCCATATTAAATCATTTCTATAGAAATGAAGTTCTTCATAGGGTCTAACTTCTTTTCAAAAGACTATCAAGAATTTTTTTGTGGATAAAGATCAAAGAAATTCAGCATCTCTATGCAAGATTAGTTACTTGTTTCTGTAAGAAGTTTTCCCAATTGATGTTGTTCTAAACTTTTTCTTTTGCATTGTGGTTATGTAAATATTTTGAAAACTTAGTGGAAGCTTCCTTAGCTGATTGGAATACTAGATGAAGAAGCTCTATAGAGTGGAGAATGGACAGCTTAATAATCTTTTAGTATATTCTTTCTTTTTTATCTCTATTGAACTCATAGTTTGATGCATATTAAAAATTTGAAGTAAGATCCTGATACTTGTAATAGCTTAAAGTGTGTTTTGGTTTCATGATCCAATCCCTTACAATCTTTGAAAATAAGATTTTTCTTGATCAAATACTCTTATATTTAGATAATGTGTCAACTTTTTCATTAATCTGTTTATCATTTCATTGATACACATCAATATTAATTTTATACATTTGAAATATGAACCATGAGATTCATTTTCTTTTTATGATTTGACGCGAATGGTGTAGATAATTGATAATTATAATTTATTGTTCGGATTAACAAAAAACCACATTCTTAATGAGGATAGTGGTGTTAGAATACTTTTGACTTGTGCTGGTACAAACTGACCTCTCTGTTGTCAGATTAGATACTGATGTAAAAATTTACAAGTTGTGAATATTTAGGTTGTCTGTTAGGTGTGTATAAATAATAAGAAAGCCTAGGGCTTATGAAGGAAAACTGATAACATCGGAGTTGGGTGTGGAAGGAGATAAACTGTGTTAGAGAATATATTGATTGGACATTAGGATTTTCTCTTGGTGTAATACTGTAAGAATATTTATCGAATATGAACTATCTCTAGGTCTGACTCAATGTGAGTGCACCCCGGGAGGGGAAATGCTAGGTAATAATCTGCCAGAGAAATTAGAGACCCTGAACTCTCCTAAAATGCCTTAACTCTGTTCAACAACCAGATTCCCTAATCTGTTACTCTTCTTCATACATGACAACTGTCCAATATACATTTGTGATGCCCATTTAAGTCATGACTATGTTAGTGTGGGTAGTTAAGCCAAAACAGAAAAATAAAACTATTTCTGTTATAGTTTTGTGGTGCATATATACATCATTAAAAGGTTAATGAAGATGTATTATCTTTCTCTTCCAATTCTTTTCTCTAAAATCCTTTATGGTATCAAGAGCTAGGTTGTGATAAAACCTAAGAGCTTGAATGTTGTTCCAAGAGAGTGGTTTCTTGTTTTGTCAATAAAGGTGTTAGAAGAACCTCACAGTGGGTATTGGTGTCAAGAAAGTTTGTGGTAAATATGGCTGAGGAAATGGGATTGTGATGCATCAGTCACGGTATGCACAAGATTTACTGAGGAAATTTGAGATGCACAAGTGCAATGCAGCTAACACTCCAACTGAGGTGGGTCTAAGACTAGAAAAAGAACCAGAAGAAGAAGCAGTAGATCCCACTAAATATCGGAAAATGGTTGGAAGTCTGAGGTATCTATGCAATACACGGCATGATATGAGTTACAGTGTTGGTCTTATTAGTAGATATATGCAGAATCCTAGATTGTGACATATGAATGCTGTCAAACGTGTTTTAAGGTATGTACAAGGAACATACAATTTTGGTATTCTTCTTCCAAAAGGTAAGAAAGAAGGTGAGTTAAGAATCATCGCATACTCAGATGCAGACTGGTGTGGGAATAAATGGGATAGGAAAAGTACAGTTGGATACATTTTCTTCCTTGGAGAATCACCTATTTCATGGAGTTCAACAAGGAGCCAGTTGTAACTCTATAGCTGAATATATAGCTGCTTGTGAGGCAACCTGCCAAGCTGCATGGTTGAGTTCTTTGATGAAAGGTTTAAAGATTGATTTAGCTGAAAAAATTAGGTTGCTTATAAATAACAAGTCTGCAATAGATCTTGCTAAGCACCCAGCCTCTCATGAAAGAAGTAAGCATATTGAGACAAAATTCCACTACATCTGTGAACAAGTTAGTAATAGGAGTCTTGAAATTTTACACTACAAATCTGAAATGCAACTTCCAGATGTACTATCGAAACCTTTGAAGTTTGATAGATTCAGAAATCTTAGAAAGCTTATTGGAGTTACAAATGTAATGTAATTTTGGCTTAGGGAGGTATGTTAGTGTGTGGGTAGTTAAGCCAAAACAGAAAAATAAAATTGTTTCTGTTATAGTTCTGTGGTGCATATACATCATTAAAAGGTTAATGAAGATGTATTATCTTTCTCTTCCAATTCTTTTCTCCAAAATCCTTTAGACTAAAGCACTAAAAGCTTCATATGTGTTTAACTGCGCAAAGTAATGCACTAAGAAAAGCTGGTTTGTTAAGACCAACTTTACAGAATGTTAGTACTGAAATGAACAGTTGTGATGTTAGGGAATCTGAACATTGCTTAGGTTCACGCAAATATGATTACATAATTCTGCTACCTTTAATATTCATTTTTCCATGCATTTACAATTGCTTTTGCATCCTAAATTGCATATTTTTAAATTACCAACTGCCTTAATATTTTATAATTAAGAGGTTATTTTAGCTAGAGCTATCAAAACAGCCAGCCTTACTTGGCATTACAGGCCAAGTAAAAAAAATATATTTGATGGTCAGTCTAGCCTATATTTTAAAACGGACAAAAAATTTTAGCCTAGTCTATTCCTATGTTAGGTCAATGGGTTAACGGGTCAATTTTTGGCATAATAAATTATTATTTTTTTAAATATTAACATATTTATACAAAATCAATTAATTAACAAAAATTAAATAAAAAACAAAATATATTTTGAAAATTTAAACTTTATTAATGAAATTATTTTTATTTATCATATAATGATTTAATATATAAATTATAAGAGAATACATTAATTCAATCTCAAAATAAGAATTAAAAACTTACTCATTGTTATCAATTATTTATTATTTAGTGATTTATTAATTTAAAATAGTAACTAATCTTAATAATTAGATCTTCGAATAAGTGATTATTAGAGATTTATTATGATATTTATTTTTAAAATAAGTTAATCTCTTGTCAAATTAATTTATAATACATATATAATTTTTTATTAAAATAATATTACTTTTATTTTTATTTAAAAAATTATTATTATTCTATAAAACGTACTACTCATACGTTTACGAGTTAGTTTGGCTTAAGTCTATATAGATCATGGCCTAAATATGCTGGGTCAATAAGTCTGATTTAATTTAGGTTACAAATTTTGTAGCCTAACATGGTCTTTCATGCTGGCCTATCGAGTTAAACTTATATTGACACTCCTAATTTTAGTATCATGAGACATGTAAACAACTTTAAAATGCTCAATAATATTAAAAGTTGTGTGTTGGGTTTGATACATGTTTGACAGACACAACTGCTTTTTAAGGTATCTGAGCTCCATATCTCATTGCAGCCAAATGCTTCAATGGGGCTTTATCGATCTGGCGGCTAATTAGCCTTTTTGAACGATGACCTGGAGTAATTTCTATCTTCCAACTCATAGAACCTATCTTGCTTTCAATTTATCTGTTGAACATGTAGTGCCTTGAAGCAGTATAGCTACTGGCATTGCATAAAATCTCAATTCTAATGGAAAAGGTGGTGTTGGAGCTTCTCTTAGATACTTTCACAGTTCTCCCATCTATATTCTTGGCATATATGAGTGGTTATTCATTGCCAGTGTTATCAATGGCAGATGGTGGAATATGGTGAAAAGCCATTGTTCCGCCATATTAACATGTTGTGGCCTATGATGCCACCACAGTGGGCTTGCCTTCACAAATTGTCTATGGATGTTAGCAAACAATCAGCCATGGTGCTGCCACTTAACCAAACTGTTCAGCACCAAGTCCATCATCCACCTACATCGAAACATTAAAGAAGCTGTTGATTTCTTGGATGTATGTATCCAATGTGCGTAAACAAGTCATAATACAATTAGGATGTGTGATTTATTAAGTCTGTTTTTCGCTGCCTTTTCTTGTGCCCATTTAATATATGGTTTAGTTTTGTGCTCTCATCTGTAATAAAACTTCTCTTTCAAATGATCAACTTTTAATTCTGCTTATGCCGTACAACAGGTAAGGTTGGAGGATTCATTGCTTCGATACCTGAAGTTATGGTTGCTGGTCTACTCTGCTTTATGTGGGCAATGCTCACTGCATTGGGCTTGTCAAATCTACGCTATAGTGAAGCTGGAAGCTCTCGCAATATCATCATAGTTGGGCTATCATTGTTTTTCTCTCTTTCAATACCTGCTTACTTTCAACAATATGGCATCTCTCCGAATTCCAACTTGTCGGTGCCAAGTTACTTTCAGCCATACATTGTGGCTTCTCACGGGCCTTTCCACAGCAAATATGGAGGGGTATGCCTGTGTCATTCTGCTTTACTATTATGAATATGGTGCGTTTGTGTCAAATTTTTAGAAAAGATAAAAAAAGTCATCCAAAGGGCACTTTCATCTATCTAGGTGGGTGTTTGGCTCGTGAAACCGTCATTACATATCTATCTCCATGACATTGTGAATGGACGTTACCCATGCTCAATAGGGAATAGGTTTTTGCTTTCGTGTGTTTAATTAAGGTCAATTGCCTATTACTCCGTAGTTTTGACTAAGAATTCATGATGTGGTGCAACTATTAAGCTAACTATCATTATGTCTCTGTAGTTAGTATTGATTTATTTTTGTTATTTTATCACTTGAATGCTAGTTAAAAATCACTGTTACTCCTTTGTCAAAACTTTTCGTGTGTCGGAATGTTAGGTTTGTCTAAAAGAGCACTTGTTAATCATTTTGCAGCTGAACTATCTCTTGAACACGCTTCTTTCGCTACACATGGTGATAGCATTTCTTGTCGCTGTTATTCTGGATAATACCGTACCTGGCAGTAAGCTGGAACGTGGGGTATATGTGTGGTCCGAAGCCGAGGTTGCTAGAAGAGAGCCTGCTGTTGCTAATGACTATGAGTTGCCTTTGAGAATTGGTCGGATTTTCGGATGGGTGAAGTGGGTTGGCCTGTAATGTAAAAAAGACTTGGGTTTCTTTGGTTTACATATTCACTTTATTAACCAGTCCCAACTGCTGAAGGAGCCTGAGTCTAGATTCAAATGTCTTGCCTGTACTCAATGATGGAGAGTAATATATAGGTCATGCATCTTGCAGTGTTAATTTGTACACATTGGGATTTTTGTTGGGGCCTATTTGTGTTGTAGTTTATTAGATTAACCTTAGTTTTTTATTCATTCGAAATCTCCAGCTGTATTTTTTCTCCTTGCATAAAGGCGAGAGGTTTGACAAATTATTTTCAATGTATATATATATATATATATATATATATTTTGTAGTTTTATCCAGCTTCATTCTAATTTCTAGTTGTAATTAGCTATATATAAAGGTAAATTTTTTAATCGTTTTTTTTATCTTCAGAGAGACAAATAAAAATATTGTAGTTATGATATATATACATTTAAAAATAGTAAAAATAAGAAAAGAGAAAAAAAGTGGATATATTTAAAGAATGAAATAAATAATACTTAAAATATATATATATATATATATATATATATATATATATATATATATATATATATATATAGATAGATAGATAGATAGATAGATAGATAGAAACTCGTCTCAGCGCATGGATTTTCACTGATAATTATAATAGAAATTCAGAGGTTGGGGGCAAGAAAAGTAATTATAATAGAGGTTGAGGACAATAAAAGCTTTTTGCTGTTGCCAATATCTCACCATTTAAATGGTCGTTGGGTGAATCTGTAAGAATCTAAAATGTATTCAAGTTAATTACGAAAAATCTGCAAGAATCTAAATGCTGTTCAATCTAAATGCCTGTATTTGCTGGAAACTACGGCTGTGAAAGAAAAAAATTCCAAATCAAAATTAATTCATAACCAAATGCCTCATTTAATGGATTGATTTCATATTTTGATTTTTTTAGTTATTTTAAATTCAATATAACTAATTATATTTGAATTAAATATTTGTTTAGATTTTTAAACAATACAAACTTAATGTTATAAAACATTTTTAGTTAAGAAAATATTTGGTTGAGACTTTTTTAACATGATTTTAAAGATATATTTGGTTACAATCGTTGCAAATTTCTAAATCAGAATATTGAGAATTTTAAATTAATTTTTAGTAGTATAATGATTACATTAAAATGTGATTTAATATTTTATTATTGTTCTGGATCAAAAAATATGACATTTTAGGTATTCTTCTTCTTTTTTATAATCAAATTTTTCTTCGGGTTTTTCTTTTTTCGTATCTATCCGTCCCAATTAGGCATGGCAACGGGCGGGCAGGGGCGGGTTTTGTCTCCCCGTCCCGCCCCGACTTTTTTAACCATCTCCGTCCCCGCCTCGATCTCACGGGTTAGGAATTAAGTCCTCATCCCGTCCCCACTGGGTTTCGGATTCCCGCCCCACCCCGTCCCCGATTTATATTATTTTTAAAAAGATAATTATATTGATAATAAATTAATTTTACTGTGTATTTTTCTATATAAATAAATATTTATAATTTATAGTTATTATTAATTAAATATACATTTTAATTTATTATATTTATATTAAAATATATATGTAAAAGAAATATTTAATTATTTTTTATTTATATATATATATATATATATCTAATATTTATAACATTATTATTATTATTATTATTATTATAACACTGTATTCAAATATTTGAATATTTATAATATTATTATTATAATACTGTATTCAAATATTTAATTATGCATATAAGTTAATTCATTTTCAAGTTGTCAATATATAGTTTATAAGAAAATATTTAATAAGTTAATTCTTATTTAATTAGTTTGAAGTAATAAAAGTTTAAATTATTAATTTCTTTTAATCCTTTAAAATGCAATTATTTTATTAAGATAAAATTTGATATATGATAAATAAGCATAATAAGATAAAAAAATATGACATAATAAATATAAATTATAAATAAACTAATATTAGTTACTACTAAGATTGATGTAAAATATTTAGAAAAGGATAAAGAAAAAGATTAACTTTGTGTTCATCAAATTGGTTGAAAAGATTGAAAAAGAAAACAAATTGATGAGAGAGACTAAGAAAATGTGAAAAACTGAAAGATAAGGGAGAGAATAATATAATAAATTAATTGATATAAAAGATTGAAAAAGATAAAAAAAATTAAAAAGTGGGTAGAAGAAAAATAAAAATTGGTGAAATATAAAAAAATAACCTTATATGTAATAGAAAAAGAAAATGAAATACTTTTAAAATATTAATATTTTAAAATTTAAATTTAAATATAAAGTCGGGACTGGGACTGGCGGGTCGGGGTGGGGATTGCATTACCCATCCCCGCCCCCGTCCCCGACTTTTTAAAGCGGGGAAAACCCGAACCCGACCCCGCCCCCGGTCAACTCGGGTTTTCCCCGTCAAACTCGGGGCGGGGATGGGTCGGTCCCCACAGGTACGGGTTTAATTGCCATCCCTAGTCCCAATAATATCTTATTCCTCATACTATCTACGTATCGGGTCCATTAAGTATCAATTAAGTCAATTTCCCCTAAATAGATTTATCTTGACCCATTTTACTCATTCAGTTGGACCCAAACCCAACCATACACAATCTCTATGTACATACCACAGTCCCCAAGTCTTAAATTAGAAAAATATTTCTAATGTGAAGACTAAAAACCGAAATAAACATCGAATACACTTCATCCCTTAATATTTTATGATATAATTGCAAAGTTCAACCACTTAAAGGGAATAAACAACCATTGAAAATCATACTTACAATGACCGTCGTCTTGATGTAGAGTGTAAAAATTGCTTCCGCAAGTACTTGAATTTAGATAAAGATTAACCTACTTTTACTCGTACTCCAATTTAGATCGCGTTTCGGTCTTAGTTCACATTCCGAACATACCTCGCATTCCGAACATAGGTCGTATTCCGACTATAGTGCATATTCCACACATAACTCATATTTCGAGCATAAGTTGCATTCCGACCATAGTGCACATTTCGCACATAGCTTACCTTTCGAGCATAGGTCGCATTTCGACCCCTAATATGCATTCTGCACATAACTCAGATTCCGAGCATAGGTCTCATTCCAACCCTAGTGCACATTCCCTACATAACTCGTATTCCAAGCATAGTTCCTATTGAAACAAATAAAAAATAATACTTTTAAGTAACAAAAGAAATTTTAAATCAGAAGATAAAAAGATTTGTCTAAAAAAACATTTTATTGATATTGTTACCTTGTTAATTTTGATATTTAAGATATTATTACTTTATATTTTAGTTCGTTATAATTTTATTTTAAAATATTATAAGAAAAGAAAGTATAAATAAACTTCTAATATAATATATAAACTCAAATAATATTATGTGTACTAAATAAATAACTTAATCAAATAATTGGATATGCTAAGATATGAGAAGATAATAAATATCAACATTATATCCCAATTTGTTCTTGTAAAGTGAAACACTGTCTTTTTCTTTGGTTCATGTCCGAATATCTTGAAAAACAAGTTGTCGGATTTGAATAATTGGTGATGGATACTTAGAGATACTCGTATGATCAAATAAGTTAAGAAAAAAAATGTTGAAAAAAAAGCTAAATTTATTATCAAACTTGCTAATATTTGTAATCTCAATCTATAAAAGATATAATATTATACTTCGATGATGTAATACTTTTATTGATTCAATCCAGTTTACTCACTTAAGCATTGAATAAACTTTATATCTGATTTTTCTCTAAATATAAAATCAGAAGTGCATCTTAGTAGAGAAGTACATCATAACCCAATAAAAACATTATTTAAAGTATAATCCAAAAAAAAATGACATCATAAAATATTAATACAGATAAAAATAATATAATTTGAAAAAAATAAATCATACCGTAAAGTATAAATTTAAATAAAATTAATATGTTTAAAATTTCATATATTCAAATAAAAGAAAAACATAGGTTTATGAAACCAAATTCTAAATAATTATTTAATTATGAATATTTTTCTCGTTAATAATTTTACTTTGGTGAGTTTATTTAAATAAAATCACTAACAACAAGTGATGACTGTCGAGAATTATAGATAGAATGATACTAATTAAAATATTCATAAATCATTGTCATTACAACATTAGTTGGGTATTTCCAACACAACCCAGAGTTGGAATTTTACTAGTTTCGATTTAGTCAACGTTAGATTGTTCTTGATTGGTGAACTTTTAGCTTAATATGAATTCATAAATCTTTGGTTATTTTTTAATAAATATTTTGGTTAATTTTGATGTGGACTTCTTTTGATTAAACTGAACCAAATTACTTATTAACCAATTTTGATTAACACATCCTCAAATAATATTGGCTCAAGTAACTTAAACTCCACCTTAACCAAAATATAATCACTTTAGCCTCAATCAAAACTCCATCTTCAAATTCATGGAATAATTATGCTCACAAAACAACATCCTAAATGATTTATTAGTATTTATTTTTCATCAAAAAAAATGTATTTGATTCATTCTCTGGCTCAAAAACATAACATAGTTTTTCAACACATTTTAAGGAAACAGTTTAAAAACTATGCCTGAAAATATCAAGCATTTCACCCAAACACAACTTCTTGTTTTCTATTTCGAAATACAAATTTCCAACCATTGAAAATGTTAGAAATATGGCACAATCAATTGGGCATGCGGTCTAATTTTCTCAGCGGGAAAAACTTTCCCCCATGTCCAAATAAAACTAAAAGAAAATTGCTTCATCCATTTCAAAATTTTATTTTTACAAATATATTTTTTTTTTTATCTCAATTGAACATAAAACATATGAAAGTATTTAAATTGTATTATATGAAATGAGACGAGCGATGCGAGATATTTAATATATCTTTTTTAACAAAGTCTCTCGGATCAATTTTATTCCAAAATAAAATGATAATTCTTATCCAACCTAATAATTGAAAATAAATTAGACTT